ATTCCTTCCGTCTCAGTACAACTACAATGATCGCATTCCTGAGGTGAGATTGTGGGCTCTGCGTATCTATCGTCTAACATCTCGAATAGTTGGTGTACAGCGACATCGTCGCAGGAACGGAGTCAGTCGCGTCAATTTGTTATATATTCTCCCGAGAAATGACACACGATATGCAGATGTGGTTCGAGCTCAGACAGCCTATCCTGCCTTCGCGCCGCCGACGTGGACACTTTACAAACATTGAACTACAATATAAGCTTGGCAGTATATTATGGCACTTATATTTTTGTTCCCGTTGTCGATGGTACCTTCATTGTCGAACGCCCGACCGTCACAATCACGAGCGGACATCTCAACGGAGTAGGCTGATTCACTGCGAGAGGCTGAATATTGGCTGATCCTTCTACGCAGGAAGTACTTTTAGCGGTGACCAATTCACACGAGGGAAATGATTTTGTTGATCAATCACTTACGATGGAAATATCGGACTTCGTTTCCACACTGTTCCCTGACGTTCAACCCTGGCAGGCTGCACTAGCAACTCCTTTGTATCAGGGCCTTGGTACCAACGTAGAGCAAGCTAACTACGCAATGGGCGAATGTAAGGTTTACATGATGCATGCGCTTACTATGGTACTGATTTAGCCCGCTTTCGAAGCCATCTTCATTTGTCCTACTTACTACCTCCTCAAAACTTTCGGTAGCAAAGGGTGGAAGGTATGCTTCAATAGGCTCATAAAGCTTCATCATTCTTGACTAGCAACATTCAGGGCGAATTCGCTATCCCACCTGCACTTCATGGCAATGATCTTAGCTATTACTTCACATCGTGAGTAATCTTTGGCTAGATCAGCGGCCGTCGATCAATTCTTCCCGCAGTGATGGCCCTCCATATGATAACTCCGAGTTCATCACCGCCTTCTCGAACGGGTTTATGGCTACAGCTATGACCATGAACCCTAACGACAAGTACAATTCCAGCGACATCACTCCTGCATGGAGTACCTGGGTGTCTGGACATACAGAAATGATGTTCAACGAGACGGAGGCTGGCGCACCGAATGTGTATACCTACACGACGGACGATGCGCTACTCGAGCGTTGCCTGTGAGTATCTGAAGCCCGTTTGTTCTCCTAGATGTTCTAATTATGGATCTATAGCTATTGGCTGAGCCTCTCTGCGTATACGGCACAGTGATAGGCATTAGGAAGACGATGCCAGGACTACAGGTAGAGGTCGGATGTGGTAATTGGAGAACCATCTTAGGCTTTGACTGTGTGTATGACTTGCAGCGCAATTAGAAATAAGACAGTGGATACCCGAAGACGATCCAACCACCAACCTTGATATAGTCAGCTGTCGCGAGAGGTTATACACGATAACGCAACGATAACGCAATGTATTCTCGTAGATTGCAGACTTCTAGCCTATCGTGAACGCCGCTCTCGCCATGGAAGGCATAGCACTCACAGAGACATGTCCAAATAAGTGAGCATTGTGTGCGCAACAATATATGGCGCAGGGTTTGGGATGGATGGAGGAGAGGGATCTTCGTCGTTGTCTTCATGTTGGGTAAGTCAAATTTTGACTTTTTTTACTTAGCTGCAGTTGCTGACGCGCATGGACCTTAAGTAACTATACCTAGATCTGCCCTTGCACGGCCTCGGCTGCGCGAGATGAGGTCCATCGCGCGTAGTACGGGTTTCAAGGGTTGTCGTACGTCACCCGCGCTCCGAAAATTTACTGTGTGTACCCCTCTGGATAACTTACGATCATCGTCGTACCCTGACGCAATATGATGTACAGCGTGGCATGCGACAACTGTCAGCAAAATACATGGACATGATGAAACACTTCCACTTGCAAGACCCGATAAAGTGGAAGCAAATGACTACAGAGGTAGGGAAAAGGATCTGCATGTTGCCCGTGTTTTACCGAATTGTTGTAACTTTAAGCGCTTCGCAGGTTCCCGAGGGTGCAGGTGTATGAGGGTGCCTGGCCGATTGAAGCCTGTGCGAGGCACTACCTGGAGCGTACAAGGTATGAATATTACAAAAACTTGCGCGTGAAGTCGACGTCGAAGTACAAGACAAGGAGCGGAAGTCAAGCAGCTATCCACGCACTCGCCGATGTGCTCACTTGCGATCCGAAGTAAGCAGTAATCTTCTCGTTTACCCATGTTTGTTAATGCATCAAACCAGATTTTGAATGGGCCTGTGTCCTGGACAGCATCACCGAAGGATGTCCCGTCACGCGCTGACTTGGAAACGTCAGTCTACGACAGGCAGAATCCATGTCTCGAGCCTACCATACAGCCTGTTGATACTGACTCGAAGTCACCTTTTCGCATCAAATCCTACACTCCGGTAGTATATGCGGATCACTTTTCAGCAGCTTCAGCTGGTCATTGTGAGATCGTTGATCTTTTGAAGTCACTCCGTCCCAGCATGGAGTATCTATGCGGAAGATTCATCGCAGCTGGGATCAAGGACAAAGATTGTCTCCATGCGATGCCAGAGATGCCAGTTTTGGATCGCAGTATTCTCTTGAGGGATGATGACTTGACGCTAGACCCGTTCCCTTTCTATATCATTCACACTGGTTTGACGAAGCTCATTTCTGACACAGCCATTTGATCTGTGCACTAGTAGTATGACCATTCCAATTTGTGTACATATTAAGTCGGACATACATCGACTTGATAACATTCGACTGTGCTTCGCACGATGCTGCTGCGCGTGTGTATTGCGTCTGTGCAAGTTGCTTCCGTTGTCGTTCGCGTGCGTACTGCGCAGGCTTCACAGGGATAACCCTAACCCCGATGCCGTAAGCGGTCAACCGGTCACGACTTTGTCACGATCGGATGTCCGGGAGGACTCCGAGAGAGAGACTGGAGAGTGAGAGCCTGGGACTGCTTGTTCGTTGACAGCACAACGCCAGCTCCAGCTGTTTTTCGCCTGAAATCTTCCTGGGTCTGTCTCTCCGCGACTTCAACTCCTCCGCTTCAGATCTCTCTCTTGCTGTGGCTTTCTCGCTCTGTGAACGGCAGCCTCGTCATTTCGGCCGTCTGACTGCGCTCACGTTCCCTCTCTATCTTGACTAGTTCATCCATCATGGGTTCTGCACAGAGCTATATCTCGGGTGTAGCGGTGGCCGCGTTTGTTGCTGCAGGTGTTGCAGTCGCGGCGTACGGGTACACGTCTCACTCCCCGCAGTCACCTTCTGCGGGCGCCATTGCAGAGCCTGCGCCGCCCACCGCATCCAGCAAGAAGAAGAGCAAGAAGAAGCAGACCGGTGCGCAGGCAGAGAAACCAGTCGAGACAGCCGCTGCGAGTCCTAGCGTCGTCCCATTCCCTCCTGTCGTGCCAGGCGACTTCGACGCGTCGTCTGAGCAAAAGACCGCTGACCCTGTGGTGTCCACCAAGCCGACTAAGAAGAAGAAGAAAGCTAAAAAGGCGACACCCTCAACTGGCAGCGGATCGCGCGCGGTGTCCGTCGACACCCTCTCCGAGTCGTCCGCCACTGCGCCCGAGTCGTATACCCCGGCCCCTGCTCGGCCAACCACGTCGAAGCGAAAAAGCTCTACACCAAAACCACCTGTCGTCGACACGGATGGGTCGTGGACGCGAGTCGAGCCACACTCGTCGCGTCAACATCCGTCAGTAGAGTCTGCAACGGGCGACGCTGGCGTCACGACCACCTCGGTGACGGGCAATTCATCCCCCGTTGCAGAGCGCACAGACGATGACCTGTCCAGTCCAGTAGTCGCATCCTCTGGGAACAGACGTACGCTTGCAGAGAGACTGCTTCCTAAACCGCGTAAAACGGGTGTGGACGAGTGGGTGCTGACACTACTTTTTACTTCACTTATTCATCCGTGTACCATACACCTTACAGCATGCTTGAGACACCTGACTACCCAACCTTGTCGCGGGTCATGCGGATCCAGCCGGGACCCAACGACAAGCCGGCCGCTGGGTTCTCCTGGGGAGATTACGAGGACGTGGACGAGTCAAGAGGCACCGCCGATGACGCAGATGGAGAAGACGACGGTGGCTGGGGCGTCGTGAAGGGACGAAGCCGCAGTAGGTTCATCGTTGTCGCTTGCCATCGTGATTGCTAATAGTGTGGCAGAAACGAGCAAACCGGCGCCAACCTTGTCTGTACCAGAGACGGTAACAAAGAAGCAGCGCCAAAACGCTGCCAAGCGCGACGCGCAGAAGGCTGCCAGGGCAGATGCGGACGCAGAGAGAGAGGCACGCCTTGCAAAGCACAAAAGAGAACTCGAGCGCGCCAGGATCGCAGAACAGTACGGGAAAACGAGCAAGGCGATGAGCGGGGGCATGACGGCATACGTCGACGAGAACGGCAAGCTGGTCTGGAAATAACGACGCGAGACGGATTCACGGTGGGCTTACATAGTTACTATGACCGGATCAAGGAACCATGGCCAAACGACGTTGGACATATACCATACATTCTTGTGTTATATCAGAGTCTCGCATGCAGCTCTCAAAGGACTGTTCATGGAATAACCTTTCATCATTCCTTTTTGCTAACCTTCTCAGTACTTAGTTCTAACTCCTATAATCACCGTTAATCCTGACGTATTCCTGTAAAGTCGCGTGAATAGAATTAGGGACAGGATCGATGCAGCTACGCACGTAGCTGAAATCACACGTCCAGTACTTCGCGCTCTCCTTCCCGGTCCCTATTTGCACTTGAATCTCTAGATCTTCGACGCTAAGAATTTTCTTTGCACGAACTTCATCGACCTTTTCGGGTTCGCCGCTTACCAACAGCGGCAGCGCTGGGGTACCGTCAGTTGGAATGAAAGAAACGCTGACTTTTGTCGGATCGAGAGGAACCGAGAGCGGAACAGATCCTGTGGCAGCGAGAACGCGGCCCCAGCTGCGAGGAAGGATGTTCAGTATCAGAGCTAGCGCACATCATATTGACACAAGTACTTAGCGTCCTCGCCATATAGCGCGGTTTTGACTAATGCAGATGTGGAAATCCGTGAAGCAATCTGATGCGCATCCTCGTATGTTGCTGCGCCCTGCAGAATCATGTTTCAAGGTCAGACTGACACTATACCTGCTGCGAACGTAACCTGCCTCGACAGAGATTGTGACAAACTTTGTGGCGCCTTCGCCGTCTCTTACGACGAGCTGCGCAAGGTCCGCCGCGAACGTAGTCAGCTCATCTCTGAAAGCCTCATATCTTTCTCTGTCTCGCTCTTCGTCAATTTCGTCCTGTGGACCGGCTGCCGCTCCGTTCGCGAGGACCACGATGGTGTCATTCGTTGACATGTCGCCATCAACGCTAATGGAATTGAAGCTGCGATCCACTGCGTACGTGAGCGCGGATTGCAAGCTGCGCGGGGAGACTGCTGCATCGGTCATGATACACCCGAGAAGCGTCGCATGCAATTGCCCAGATGACCTCGGCGGCCCCATGTCGGGATGAATCATCCCCGCACCCTTGTCCATGCCTGCTATCCGGTATTTCTTCCCCTTTATTTCAAACGTGCGCGCGCGCAGCTTGGGAAACGTGTCTGTCGTCATAAACGCCTTCGCTGCGCGCTCCCACGCAGAGAAGTTGGATGCGAGACTGTTGCCTTCAGCCCTCTGCGACTCGATCCCGGCAATGATTTTGGATATGGGCAGGTTTTGTCCAATGACTCCGGTGGACATGACGAGCGTCTCGCGCTGACCTGCAGGTTCGAGGAGCGCGTCGGTGGCGCGGACCATTGCCCAGGCGTCCTCCATGCCCTGCTTCCCCGTCACCGCGTTCGCGCAGCCGCTGTTGACCACAATTGCCCGGGCTCTGCCACCGCTGTTGTTGATTATGTCTTCAGAGACAACGACGGGCGCGGCTTTGAATGCATTGCGAGTGAAGCAGGCCGCTGCAGACGCTGCATGAGGGGTGGTAGATAAAATGACTGCAAGATCGGGGGCCCCAGTTTTCTTGATACCACAGTGGATGCCCGTCAACGCGTACCCTGCGGGAAACGCGGTGTCGCGGATGGGCCCATGAAGGTATCCCTTTGGCGGAGCCGGTCTGGGTGTGATGGACGAGGAGAGCCGTTTCCACACGGCTGGCAGACGCGAAGTCATGGGGGTCCAAGGAGAAAGCAGCGAGCGCTCACTGCTCGCTGGCTCTTATACACTTTGACTTGGCTGAGCACGCCGTATGGCCTTATTCACGCAACGATTCCCAGCACGGCTTGAGCAGTATATTTCCCCGTGACTAGAGGTTCATCGAAGTAGTACAGAAGCTCAATGAAGCCAGAGAGGTCATCCGCGAGATCTGCGAGACGCTAGAAGGAGAATTTAACTCTGCCACCGCTCCGTTACTCCCATACGTCGAAGCAAACACGACGGAGGAGTGCAGCTCTTCACTGCATCGATGGTTGGAAAAGCACGAGAATTTCGGCGAAGGCCAGCGAGAGGAGACTGAGTTCCCACGGTCATTTCAGCCGCATTAGGAAATCTAGCATTGCCCAGGCGCTAACGCAAACTTTGGCGGCACACTTCAAGACACTCGACATCGGCCAGGACGACGACAAAATGGGTTCAACAAGGTGAGATTCGTGCTGCATGATGTTTCTAGGGCCTGTATTGGCACGTCAATGCAAGTTGAACGATGTCGGACGCTCGAATACGGATGGATGGGCCTCCGGTGGATTGGATGCCGCTCGCACTGTCTCAGAATTGCTGCTGTTCTTGACGACAGGTACAGACAGGTGGATGCTCATTTTATTTGTTCTGCAGACTATACTCCAAGGGACGCGTTCTCGGCCACAAACGCGCTAAGCGCAACACCCGCCCCAACACCTCCTTGATCCAGATCGAGGGCGTCGCCACCAAAGAGGACGCGCAGTTCTACCTGGGCAAGGTGTGCATCTCATTGCCCATGTACGACTTGACACCTAACATGGTCGATACAGCGTGTAGCATACGTTTACCGGGCAAAACGGGAGATTCAGGGCTCAAAAGTTCGGGTAATCTGGGGGTATGTCCCGCTTAGCTTCAGCCTACTTTCGTTTCCTAACTCTCGTGTCGTTCAGCCGCGTAACGCGCCCTCACGGAAACTCTGGCGTCGTAAAATCCAAGTTCAGGTCGAATCTGCCTCCGCACGTATTTGGTGCCAGTGTCCGGGTGGTAAGCTTGCCCTGGCGTAATTTTGTTGCTTGCATAGTGACCGATTCTTGTATTATGATTCTAGATGCTTTATCCCTCTACAATTTGATAACTGTATTACTCTCCTTGCATCTATGGCATCCTGTTATGTGTCCACGTACTGCAAATATGACATGCTCCCATGGCCTGCATATTATCGATTATGTTGGAGCTGTGATGAATACAACGCAAAGTTAGACCTATAGTCGGAGCTGTGGAATGAGCAAGCGATGAAGGCAAAGCTAATGAGTGTGTGTATTTGAGCGTGAATAACACAGCACATCTCAAGCATATAATTGTACCACTTATGCAATTGTTTAAACGAGGCGGTTTGCGCGCCACTTCAATTGTGATAGGAGTACCACAACATGCACCGCGGCGGCCATCGACTACCCACTCTTACTGCGCAGTGTCTGCTTCGCTTGCTGGTTTCAAGCATACATTCAACAGGTCTGCAACCTCCACATGGCCGCACCAACCATCTCTGCTGCCCAGGCGGTAGGCGAATATCTGCAATTTCCCGATGACCTCGCAAAAATTCCTGCATTTCGCAGAAAGCTAGAGAAGGAGAAGGCTTCCATCGACGCCAGACTGAAGAGCGGCGTAAAGGAGCAGCTGGATGCTACGAGAGATGGGCTGCGCAAGCTGTTCAACACCCGTAACAACGTCCAGACAATCAAGGATGAGATGCAGACGGTGGACAGGCTTTGTAGCGACCCTCAGAATTCCGTCTCTACTTTCGACCAGATAAGCAGGGTGAGTTCCTGGTCTTCAGGACGTATCGTCGAGTGTTTATGCGTGTTCGGAGGTGTCTATGGTTCACCGGAATTTCGAGCGCACAGAAGAGATGGTCAACAACCTCGTGGAAATGGACTCCCATCTTGACATGCTCGAGGATATGCTCGAGGCAGACTGTCAAGATATTCTGGGACCAGCCCCTAATCTTCTTCGCATTCATTACCAGATCAACAAGCTGGAAGCATTCCGCAATCAAACCATTCACCAGGCAAAGAAGTCCTCCACTGACACCAGAAAGACCCTCACTCAACATTTCGAACGGCTTACTCGGCTTATAGAGGCCTTCGACGAATACTTTCTTGCCCTTGCTCGGAACATACTCGTCATTGTCATGGAGGGGCACTCCGAAACTGTGGTGAAGCTGCTCAAGATTGCTGAGATTGAGGGACGCGCAGACGAGAAGGTAAAGATACGGATCTTGTATAGTTCGAGGCGCGATTTACAGGTTCCCAGGCCATAGCTATTAAACTCGTCAAGAAAGCTGCCAAGATGGACGCAGCTGCGAAGTTCAGGTCGATGCAAGCCGACGCACGAGTCATCAAGCACTACCGATCAAAGCTCATGAAGTGCATCGTAGAGTCCGTTCAGCAGACATTCAATGACGCATACGAACGTGACGAGGGTAATCCTGCCGCATTCCTTGATAATCTCGATTGGGTATTCCAGGATCTCATACACATCGAAGCCGACGTCGTGCCCTGTTTCCCTCCTTCGTACGATATCCACACGCATTATGTTCGCGCCTACCACAAGGCATTGAATTCCATCCTCGTGAGGGTTGTTCAGAGCGAACCTGAAGCGAGTGTCATTCTTGCGCTCTACGGGTGGGTCAAGGACTATAAGAAGAAGATGAAAGAACTAGAGATTTCTCCAGAACTTCTCGACCCTCCGCTACTAGATGGGAGGGAGCAGAATCTCATCGAGGACTATCTGAAACTTATCATCAAGAAGCTCGACGAGTGGACCACAAACCTGATGACTACTGAGGCTGCCGCTTTTGTTGCACGCGAGGAACCGCCAGAGATAAACAGCGATGGGCTGTACGGCACGCAGGGTGCGGTGATTCTATTCCAGATGGTGAATCAACAGGTCGACCTCGCGATGGAAAGCGGGCAGGGAATGATCCTCGCCCGCGTGGTTGATGAGATCGGTCGTATTATGCGCGGGGTGCAGGAGCGATGGGCCAAGCTCGTCGAAGCGGAGTACAAGAACCAGATTGAGAAACCAGAAGAGGTTCCTGGGGGTCTCTTCGAGTACAGTATCGCGCTCGCGAACGATCAGCTCAAGTGCGCCGATTTCACCGAGGCGCTGTCTGCGCGAGTTGAACCATTGGTGTCGGAGAAATATCGTGTTCCTATCCACGACCGACTGAACGACGCCATCGACGGGTTCCTTGATGTTGCGAAGAAGTGCACGCAGACCCTCATCGACATAATCTTCAACGACCTCAAGCCCGCGATCAAGCAGCTCTTCCAGCAGCCGTGGTACGACGGACTGTCAGCACAAATCATTGAGACAATACGCGACTACATGTCCGACTACAGCAGCTTCCTGAATCAGACACTCTTCGAATTGCTTGTCGAGGAAATTCTGGATACTTACTTGGTCGCATATTTGACAGCCTTAGCCAACACACCGAAGCTCAAGATACCCTCCGCATCGGAACGAATGAAGGCTGATATTGGCGATATCTTCAAGCTCTTTGGCCAGTACAAGAAGGTGCAGGAGCTTGAGCCCCAAGTGGAAGTGCTCGAAATGGTTCTGTCCATGTTAGAGGCGTCGCAGAGCTTGGTCTTCCTCTCGTATTGGTCGTTTGCCAAAGTGTTTGGGCCAAATATCGCGTTTGTGGAGTCCTTGATGAAGGCGCGATCCGATCTCGACCGCTCAGGTGTGAACGAGGTGATGGACAGTATCAAACGCAAGGTCAAGGAAGAGGATCTTACTGATCGTAAGTTTTCTGTGCTGATCGTGTTTGATTGTTAATCGCAAGTTCTTTCCGCCCTCCAGCTCCTGAACCAACCATCATGAAGAAGATTGCCGTCCAAGGTGCATTCTCACGCTTCCTTGCACGGACATAGTCTCTCCACCAGCGGGATAATTGTACATCACTGTATTCCCTAATATCTTCTGTGCACTGTAACATACATCTAGCTCGATTTCTCTAATTTCTTTTCGTATATCTCAATCCGTCTTTGCTTTAACATTATCAACATGCTTTGACGATCTATCCGGCAGCGTCGCGGCAACTTGGTCGATCTTCTTAAACTGCCATGGGAAACGCGATGGATACAGGAACGGACGCAAGTCGAATCCTGACGACCGATATCAGTTTTACTCAACTTCGACCCAGATCATAGACTTACGATTGTCATCTGGGCTATATTGCTCCTATAGTGTATACAACGGGTGAGTGAAGTTCTTGCACAAAGGCTTGAACACTTACCGCATGATAAGAGGGGGTCAGGGTGGTCATCTTGTGCCTGTTGCGTGCATGTTCGAAGAAGAAGTATTTGACCTTCTCAGCGATCTACAAAAGAAATGCCTCAGTCTCAAGCTCTCTTAGGAAGGTTTCGGATACACCTACCTGCGTGGGCGTGAGGAACGATCCCCACTCGTGGACCAGCTTGGTAAACATGCTGTACGGCCCGCACTTCTCGACTTTCCGGAGGCGTCCGAAGACCGACAACTCGTCGTAAGTCATACCCATGTCGGCCTGACGGGGACCGTTAGTTCAGACGCACTTTCGCGCAACAGTTGTGCACGCACCTCGTCAGCTTGAACGTAGTTTTCAGTGATGGGCTCCAATTCGGCGGTTGGCACAGCGTCGAGGAAGCTGGTACAATAACTATGAGCAAGTGCCTTGGATGACTACGTCGGATTGACCTTTCAAGTACAGGCAGTTCGAATGCATCGCGGGCATATGCGATAAAGCGTTTGAGGTCCGTCTTACTTATGGCTCCGATAGGGTTAACATCCGCTGATGAAAAAGGTCATCGAATCTCTGATGACGTTTTTTTATTGTCTGTCACTGACCTGAAGAGCAGTCATACTTGGTGAAATAGCCCCGCAGGCTGAATTTGCATAGTTGGCATCAGATGAAATGGTGACGGTAATTAGTTTACATACCTTTCATCGACGTTGGCGCTTCCAAGAACAAGCAATCCTCCACTCCGTCCTCTCGCCCAAGGAAGCAACTGGGCAAACAGGTATGCAAGCACCATGCGTATGCGCGCCTAAGTATCGTCCATAAGCCATGTTCACTCGCTCAGTGACGTATAGACTTTCCTGGATATTCTGTAGAGCAAGATTCTCTGCCGCCGAGCCGCCGTGTACGCGATATTGGGGCTTCGCGCCAGTCACGAAGGTGAACAGGTTGCGGACTGCGGTGACGATCGAGTCCATGTTCAGGTCCACATGATAGCTAGATTCGAAATATTAGCAGCGCAGTGAGGAGTGCACGTTCACCTCACCTTCCGATCGCTTCCGACAGTTCCTTCGCTCGGCCCCTTGTCTCCGTGCTCGAATTCTCTGTGCCCATGTAGCAGGTATGGAAGATTCTCTTGCAGAATTCGCGTGCATCTGTCGGGATGTATGTCGACTCGTCCGGTTCACCTGCTATACGTCTCGCATCAGCAATTATATGCTCATCTAGATATAAATTCTTGTCAATTTTACAGTTCGCCGATATCAGGATTTGACATACCACCTCTCTGGGCTGCCTCAGCAACAAGCCGGCACATCGAATAAACAATAACCGATGTCGCACAGCTATCAATCCCGCCACTGAGGGGGACAAAATATCCTTGTGTCCTCGAGCGCCGAAGGTAGTCCCACAACCAGCAGGCTGGTCCAAGCCTTGCATCCTCGCATGAGCACGCGATTTATAAATGCTGCTGCTTCGAAACGTACGCGATCTCTTCCTCCGGCCTATGATACCGTACTTCCATCTGCTGCCCCACGGCGAGCTCGACGTCTGCGAGAGACGAGAATTTGCCACCGGACAGCGCAAAGTCGACCTCGACGCGTTGGTAGCGCTCCGCGGCCGCGGCCTGCATACTCCGACTACTCGTCGCGCGGTGTGCACGGACGTCCTCGATGTCAATTGTTGCGGAGACCACCTCGACGTCCTGCAATGAGAATTGTGAGCCTTGTGCAACGATGTGTCCGTTCACTGCGATCATCGCGCATCCGTCGTAATAGAGGCGGTCGCCATCACATCCTTGTTGGTTGGCGTAGAGGTAGATACCACCGAGCTGCGCAGAATTTTAAGTGGAGGGCGGTCAAAAATAGGGCTGTAACGTTACTTTCATGGTAGCCTCTTTGATGAGCTCTACGCGTCTGTATAGTTTACGCAGCTCGTGGTGGCTTCCACTGGAGTTCGTGAATATCTCAACTCCGTCGAGGCCCATTAATATATGAGGGCTGCGGGAGAAGGTCGTGAACACACGTTGGCGTGAGTGTACAGGAGACGTTGTACCTAGCAGGGGTAAACAACTCTTCGCATAGCTCGATACCGATGCAAGTGTCTACAGTGCTAACGACTGCGTCTCCAAAGGGCACTTTGGTCTGTAAAGATGAGGATTTTTATGTTTGGAGGAGGAATCTTGACCATAAAAATGCCTACCTGTCCTGTCACCCCATGAATGATCCTTGGTAGATAATGATCTTCAGTGCACCTGTGCTTAGTCCACGGCGTAAACCAGCGTAGTTCACGATAATTTCCGTCGTTTGCAAGCCACATCTTTGGGCGAATAAGGAGGATTTTTCCACTGTATATGACAATCCGGCAGTTGTAGATGACGTTCTTGTGTACTACTGGCCTGGTTCTGAGCGTCAGTAGTATACGAGACCTAACAAAACACAATGTTCACATTCCGATGTCGCATAGTATCCCTTGGGCCTCATCCGACTCGAGGATTTTAGACAAAACCTCCCATGAGTGGAGCGCAGTATCGCCTGTATATGAGATTTGTGGGCCAGTCCTATGAGATATGCATGAGACGGACCTTCGAGGAAATGGTCCTGACAGCCATAGCCTCTGCAATAAAGATGAATTTTGATTTCAACATTATCTATAGCACAACTTACGTCACCTCCAGCTCAGGACCGACCCGCAGAGTCGCCCCACGCTCCTTCGCAATACGGATGCTGGTTAAGATGCGATCGAGGTTGCCCTGGCTCGCGATGAATCAGCGGCAGCAGTGAATTTGACTGAGCTCTAACTACCTGAAAATCAAGCGACCATTGATTTAGTGAGCTATGAATATCGCTTTACTTAAGGGAGTGCGAACGCTGATATACTGTCAGGCGTACCAGCTGAGCACGTCCATCAGCACCAAGCCGCTGACTTGGGTTAGAATATCGCTCACGTAGCTACTGTGATGAGATGACCCATCTCTGTCGTCCGGAGACTCTGAGAGTGTGGCTCGGCGCAATGATAGTCAGAGGAAAGTGGGGAGAGCGACTTGAGAGACGATTGGAATGACTTCACACCCAAAGATCGGAATAGCTCTCCGCAATCCGATATGATAATATCCAGATAACACCATAGCATCCGAGTTCGTCATGCATTGATCTGGAGTTTGAATATAATATACGCTACCTGATGGCAGCGGTGGCATGAAGTTGTATGAACCTGTTCATGGTACTCCATGCAAGCATTAGGTAGTCGAAACCGAACCATGACCTTACTGTGATGCACGGCCCCTAAGGGAAAACTGAAATTATTGCTACTGATAGCTGTGTGACTTCAATCCGTGCAATGCAAAAAAAAGCGATGGGGAACTTCCATGTGGGTCTAAAATGCACTTTAATTCACAAGAGCAGAATTCGAGACGTTCGAGTAGTACAGTAGGATAACATCACGCGTACGAGCACCTGCGGGCTCCCCGCGAGCACCGCCACGTTTACTCGTCCCAAAGCAGCCAGGGGAGTCTGAAAACTAAGTTCTCCAGTATAAAAACCTCATCAAACCTTACAAAAGTCTTTCTTCCTTGCTCTTGACGCCGTTCAGGATCCAAGACATCTTTCTTCTCCATCATGTCAGCGAAAGTATACGTTGGGTACGCAGGTCATGGACCATACGAAATATATACTAACATTCCATCGTTCGTCTAGTAACCTGAGTTGGAACACCAACGATGACTCGCTTCACCAGGTTAGACATTCCCAAATTTTGAGTGCGATCGCGACCGATGAGCTGATCCACTCGTTTTTCACCTTCAGGCGTTCTCTCAGTTCGGAACGGTTACAGATGTGCGCGATCCTGTCAAAGGATCCCCCCCATCATTGCACAACGATGGGTCGAGATTCGTTGTTCATGTTAATTTTACTGAATAATTTATATGCATGTCCCGTCAACGAATCTTATTCCGGCATCGCTGCAAACAGTCTATCGTCATGAAAGACCGTGAAACAGGTCGCTCGCGTGGCTTTGGCTTCGTCACATTCAATAGCGTAGATGAGGCTAATGCCGCCATTAATGGCCTGCATGAGCAAGACCTCGACGGCAGACGTCTCAAAGTCAACATGGCAAATGCTAGACCCAGTGGTGGAGGCGGAGGCTATGGCGGTGGAGGTGGAGGTTACGGTGGTGGAGGCGGAGGCTACAGTGGTGGAGGTGGTTATGGTGGAGGTGGTTACAACAGCGGTGGCGGTGGCGGAGGCTGGTGATCAACTCTTTCTCTGAATCTCGACGTCGTCCTTAAGAATGCTCTTGCCACGCTGAAAGTTTTTTCCTCGACGCTCACCAACGCATGCATCACTGTTGTCTGTACATCGCAAACCATGTTTGTAATTCTCGAGTATCAGTCTGTTCGATATACGTGCTTGTCTGAGGGTTCCTCATGTATTGTCTGATCTGAAATCAACGAACTTCAGAGTCCACTATAGCTGATTGGACTTTCTCACCTTGTTGCCTGATGTGGTATCTGTGCTTGCTACTGTATAATCTCCTCAGATCAAAATGCACGCAAATTATGCGGAGAGCCACTTCAACAAGAATCACCCCATTCTCAGGGGGTGCTCATGGTGCTCGTCGTGCACGACGCTGCTGCAATGCTGTCACCCATGATACAAAAAAAGGTGAAATTTGGTCTACTGCTACTGATCTATATTACAATCCGTGCAATGCGAAAAGTGATGGGGAATCATGCGGGCATTTGATGCAAATCAATTCACAACAGCAGAAACATTCGAGTAGGATGGCGGTCCTGTGAAACCAATATTAGCATCGATTATTAACCATCCAAGAGCGCAAACGCACCTGGCGAGCGGCCCGCGTTCTGCAGCGCGCCCATGAGCGTCGCTTTTTCATCGTCTGTGAGATTGTCCACGAGACGGACAAGCCCATCCAGCGTCGCCTTGCGATCCTCATGAGCCAAGGTCAGCATTTGACTCATGAGATGATCTGCTTTTAACTGCGCCAGAGTTGCCGTCAAATCAAGACTCTCCAATGACTCCGCCATAGCTCGTCGGTCAGTGACTCCGTCAAGGGAAGCCAATTTCTCCAGAAGTTCGCTGCGATATTCATCTGATGAATCTGGGCTAGCCTCTGCAAGCGAGGCCATTGCTGTAGACCACGCGACCTTGGATCGCAACGCCCAATAAAATTTCCGTCGCGCATCTTTCCATACCATCGGCGAGGCGCAACCCTTGGCTTCCATGCGTCCAGTTCGACTGTGGCACATGAGCTTCCATAAAAAAATCTAGGGATGACAACACTTACTCATGAAGATCAGCATATAAGAGAGCAATTTGTTTGTAGGTCGGCATCAACAAGGTCTCGCGTTGTGCCAGTGCTTCTATAGCAGCCGTGCGCTCTTCTGCGCTCTTCAACATATCCGTGGTATCTGTCTTAAGTGATGCATATTGTCCGTCCAGTCGCTCCATTAACTTGAGAATCTTGTCACGACGCATCTTGATCTCGACAATGCCCTCCGGCTCAAGAACACCCGCCCGGGCATCTACATCCGCGTACATTTCCATCTGCTGCGAGTTGATTGATGGATCAAGCACCACCCATGCACCACCACGCAACTCTCCGTTGGGCATGATGTACACGAAGACAGGCTGCTTGTAGCTCGATAGTCCGTCAACAATTTTCGAGCCTTGCTTCAAAATCTCGTCGTACATGTCTTGCTGACCTCCAGAGAAACCACGCCAGTTCGCGAAAATAATCAATGGAAGGCTCTCGCGATTGAAATCGAATATCGCCTGCGCTGTCTTGTACGCTGAGTTGGGGTACCACACCTGGCCAGCTTCCATTATACGCTGCTCAAATGACGTAGGATTTGCGGGGTCGGCAGGAACGACGCGCTCGATTGTCCGCGTCTCAACGGCGATGATACCCATGGGAATACCTCCAAGGCGAGCGCGTCCAACGACAACGGTCTGCGCCCAGCCACTCAGCGTCTCCTGGAACGAACCCTTGTCAAAGAAACCAGACATCCATTCGGTAGTCGTCTCGTCCGTCTTGCCCTCAATAAACCAGCGGGGATCATATGGTCCCTTCGGTGGGCTATACCCAATGTCACGATCCCAAGTATCATTAGACTCGAGAATCGGCAAAGGTGCACCTTTGACCACTGGAACGTAAGAAAGCCATTGGAGAATATGCGTAGCGCCTTCCAAGTCGCTGCTTGCAGTGAGATGCGAGACACCATTCTTATACATAATTTGGGTACCGCCAAGTTGCAAGTTAGACGTGTAGACTTCCCGGCCAAGAACTTTGTTAAGCGCAGGGGCGCCCGTGAGGATAATGGGCTGTCCTTCGACCTGGACAGCGCGCTCGCCGAGGCGTACGAGGTAAGCGCCAATGCCGACGGAGCGAGCAGTGACCAATGTAATCGTGAAGATGTCGTCATACGCTCGAGACGTCTCGCCCGCGATAAGACCAGATCCCTTCAAACATTCAACGCCAAGTCCATCCTGGAGACCGATGATGTCGGTAATCTTGTGCCGAGTCTCGCCGGCCACCTCTACGTCGACTGTACGAATCGCAGCAACACCCTTCTCCTGCAATTTGAGTAAGTTCTCATGCGTGAGGTACAGATAGTCGATGCCCTTCTCTGGGTGCTCCGGGTCATTCCAGGCGCATGAGAAGAGACCCATCACTTCTTCAGCCAAGCCAATGCGAGCACCCGAGTTCGCGGACAGGTAGACACGAGGAAGACCCTGCTGGCGGGCATATTGGGAGCATAGATAGAAGAATTGATCCTCGAGAGGGCCAAAGGAACCTATCTTGTAAGTGATGTCATTTGCGATGACTACGGCACGACGTCCTTCCGGGCATTCGGGAGTTCGCATCGTGAAGACCCAGCCCACCATACCGCAGCTATTGTTACCAGGTGCTCTGTCGACCTCTTGAAGTTGATCATTCTCGTCCAGAATAAGCTCCTTTGAGTCAAGAACCTTCTTCGGGAGCGTCAAGGAAGGGTTGTTAGTTCTTCCTTTCACCCACACATTGCTCAACGCTTTGGAGAACAAGTCAGGGAAGTCATAAACATAAGTGGTTCCAACAAGATGCGCCTGGTAACGTTTTGGCTGCAGAGATTCCTTCGTGGGATAGGGCTGGTGCACAGACAGCAGATGCAGAGGCCCTTTCTCACCAATGGACTTCAATATCGTTGTACCCTTGTCGGTGGTGATCTCTTGATAGCCGTGGTAGTTGACGACGAAACCAGAGACGTTTTCGATAACGCATCGAATAGGAGTAACGTTCCCTTCACTGTCTTCTAACACGATCCGAATTTCTGAGCCGGTGACGTGGAGACGCCAAAGACGCTTTCCGTGACGTTCGATGAAACCTGAGATCGCCTCCAACACATCATCATATGTAACGGGAAGGTTGTAGATGAAGTTCATGAAAATGTGGTTGACGTCCGCGTTTCTATGCTGCACAGAGACAAGTTCTAGCGTATCCAGAATATTGGTGACGAGCCGGTCCGTCTCCGAAATCAGGTACTTTGCAGTGTTCATATCACCCAGCACACGACCAGGACGAACAAGGGCGCGAATGAAAAATCTGCTATCCAACTGATTCTCGCGAGCCACTCCATGGTAGATGTGAAGCTGCTTGCTTTCCGTGAAGCAAGGTGTGAGATTATAGTTTGACAAGCGGCCTAGCTCCAGTTGGTATGCCAGGGCGGGTTCAATGTGTCGAATGGCTTGTTCTTCATCCCACGACGACCCCATGTTGCGCAGCGTGAAGTACTGAGGATAGAGGCCGGGCCTGCAAATGAGAATGGAAATACGGCGAACTCCTCGACGAGTTAAAATTTGATGTCTATCATTGATCAGTTCATGTATGTTCTTGTACCAGTCTTGATCTGACATATCATCCGCCTCGTTGAAGATGCGCAAAGCCATATTTAGAACATTGGGGGGCTGGCTGGAGCCGTACCGTTCTTGGTACTCTAGAGGATCGAACGACGGGAGCGTATCTGCAACCTTCTCGAAACCACGGGAAAAGGCTTTGAAATTAGGGAATGAAGCAATGGCACCATTTCTAAGCGGCTGCTTTTGATGTCTACTGATCATGTAGGTGAGGTCGCTTACAGAGGCCTGCCTACGGGCATTATTCGAGCTAATGAAAGGATCAGACCAGATGAACCAAACATTTACTCTTCTCACACTTACAGACTTGGTGTGGTCGGAGGGGAGCGCGATTGTGGAAGGTTGAAGCGCCAGGTAACGATATGAGGTGCATCGCCATCACCCAGGCCATCACCCTCCTCGTAGTCAATGGACAGAAGACTATATGCGCGGTAGGCGCGCCTGACGTAGACCTCCATTGCAGCTATGAAGAAGCTCGTCATTTTTTATAAATGTTATAGTTGGCAATGACGCTTACCCAAAGTGGTCCACTGATCGTTGAAGTTGAAGAAGGTTGGTAGCACGTCGAACACCGTGTATCGGGAGTCAATCAATTCCCTCAAGACGTCCGCAGATGGCGTCCTGCTCTCATGTCAGCGAAGGAAGAAAGAGGGAGAATCGAACCTGGCGCTTACTTCATGTCACTCCCTTGCTCCCCATAAAAGCTGTTAGTCACAGATGATTTCAATATACCTTGCATCTGAATTTTGCGCTCTTCATATGAGGGCATCTGGCACGAGATCAGTACCTCGCGAGCCTTCAAAGCCACTTGAGTGGACGACCTAACAACATCTCAATGACGTCTACGATAATGTAATGCATTAAAATGGCTTACCTTGCTTCGAGCGATGCCAATCCCTGCAGAACTTGGTAAAGCTTGCTGTCTGGATTCGATACCGTCGAACCACTGTTCTTGACATGGTCGAGGATTAAGGTCAAGAGTCGGCCCTTCCTCTGCGCCATGATATGACTAAGAACGAGGGATACCACCTTGTCCAAATCGTCCTTGTATTGTTCTCGAAGCATGAGGACACGGGCCTCAATGCTGCCCCCGAACAACTTCTCTGTATGCTCATAGCGAGCTAACAAGCCAGCAATGGTGTTCACTTCGTGTGCCTTCAGCCCATTTATGTATCGATCAACCGCATCGAAGAGAGCGCTGATCTGTGTCCTAAACATCGGCCTATCTTGAGGGCGCACGTTGTCTTCCATGAAATGTTCCAGTAATTTCTTGATACGCAGGGCCGGGAATTCAGATCCCTCTCCCTTGCTCTTAGCGGTATCGATCGCGGAGCGAATGCTGTCTTCCAGCTTCGACGGCATGCGGCCAGACAGCGTCGACATAATTGCTGAGACTTCTGAAAACGGCAACTCGGGATTTTCTAACACGTCAATGAGATCTTTGAAGGTAGAGGCCATGATGGCCTGGTTATCGAAGCCGTCCAAAATGTCGTTTAGCGTATTGAGCAAAGCCTGTAGACGCTGGTGGGGTTTGTTACCAATAACGTTTGGAGAACCCATCGCAGGGAGAAGACCTTCGAAAGGCTTTGCATGTCTGACACGTGCGGGATCGTCTAGTGTCAGAATACCGAGGATATCACCAGGTTCTAGGCTGACTCCAGGCTGCTTGACAAACTGCACAATACCATCTTCTGAGGCAACGAGTGGCATATACATTTTCATGACCTGTAAATCTAGTCAGATCTATTGTAAGTGGATCGCAAGTGTGTGGACGGACTTCTATTTCAGCATATGGCTCCCCGGCATTAATATGGTCACCGCTTTCGACCAGCAATCGCACCAATTTGCCAGGACTGGGACTGCGAAGCTGCGTCGGGTCGTTCTCCTGTTCAATGAGGCATGTCTTGGCGTCCACCATTAGCCTCAGAGAGCCAACCTCTTCTCTCCAATAGATCGAGTGGCTCTTTCCGTCAAGGAGAACCAGAAGACCACCGTCCGCAAGAGGACGGGCGCCGACCATAGTCCTGCCGCCATTCAGGTACAACGTCCAAGTCGTCAAGGAGGAACGAGTAGCGGTGAATGAGTATCGCACGTTGTCATAGATGAAATCAATGCCAAAGACAGTCTTCAGGACATCGCGAGAAGGAACTTGACCCTTATCCAAGACGCGTTTATACTCTCCCCACGAGGCATCAGACGCCAGATGAGCCTTAGTGACGGCTCCACAAATGACAGCGAGAGTCGCATCTGGTCGTTCCGCTGTGAGCTTGTCACTTATAAGCGAGTCCAGCCAACCAGTGGTGATGGTGTTCTCCTGGAAAGCTTGTAATTCGAGCAGCTTGATGAGATACTCCACCGTTGTGCGGAAGTCTCCACGGATGCTAAGCTCCTTCAGAGCAACGACCATATTCTTCCTGCTTTCTCCACGATCCTCACCATACGCAAAGATGTGCCCAAACTGGGAGTCCGCGAATTCATGCAGTCCACCGGCCGAGCCAACGGAAAAATAACCCCACACGTTGGTGCTAGAACGGAAATTGAGCTCTTGCAGGGAACCTGATGACGGCTTGAAACCTGCATCGGGATTTTCAGCAGTAATGCGGACTGCCACTACATGTCCCTTCGGTCGCGGTTTCCTTTGTAATTTACTCGCGTCGGGATCCACCATATCAAAATCGATCTCCGATGTGCCGTTAGGCGCTACACCGTATAGCTGACGAATATGCCGGATGCGGTGAAGAGGGACACCCATAGCGACCTGCAGCTGCGCCGCCGGAAGATTTACGCCCGACACCATTTCTGTCGTGGGATGCTCGACTTGGAGACGGGGGTTCAGTTCCAAGAAATGGAAGACGTCCTCCGCATGGCTGTAAAGATCTGTACTCATGTAAGTAGAGATCTATGGAATGTATGCGCAGCTCTTACATTCGACTGTTCCAGCACTAACGTATCCGACAAGTTTTGCCAGACGAACGGCAGCGCGCTCCATTTGCTCAAATATATCTTGCTTGGCGATAGTAACTGGGGCCTCTTCGATAATCTTCTGATGACGCCGTTGTACAGAACAATCTCGACCAAAGAGCGAGATAGCATTTCCATATTGATCAGCAAGAAGTTGAACTTCAAGATGCCGTGCTTGCCCCGCAAGCTTCATGATGAAGATAGGCGAACCTACAAAATATGTCAGACAGTCATTGGGTAGGAGTAGGAAATACTCACCAGGTATTTCACCTGCAACTGCGCTGAACGCATTTTTGAATCCTTCGGGAGCATCAACCTTGCGAATTCCCTTTCCTCCTCCACCTTCGCTAGCCTTGATCATCACGGGGTATCCAATCTCAGCAGCCGATGCCAAACCCTCCTCAACAGTCGTAACACATGCACGTTGGTAAACCTCATCAGCCACAGTCACGAAGCCTTGGTCAGACATCACAGTCTCGGATATTCCAGAACCCGACCACGCCATCGTCGGAACATCTGCACTTTGAGCGACAATTGTACTTGAGATTTTGTCACCTAAACTCCGCATGGCACTCCCCGGAGGACCAATGAACACAATTTTGTTCGCCGCAAGAGTCTCGGGAAGGCGAGGGTTTTCCGACGCGTGACCCCAGCCAGCCCAAACAGCATGCACGCCGGCGCGCTCAGCAACATCGACGATGAGGTCGACGTTGGCGTAGTTGTTGTTATTGGAGCCGCCAGGCACCTCAACATAACGATCGGCCATACGAATGTACTCGGCGTTGACCTTCAGATCCTCGGGGGTAGCCATAACCGTAAACTCAACGGCACGCTCCGTCCCGAACGTCTCGTAACTCCATTGTCGGATTGAACGAATCTCTTTGACAGCAGCAATACCTATAAACAGATGAGAAGCAAATACGCGACACCTCAAAGAGGCACCGACCGTTGTTAGCAATGAGAACCTATATGAACAACCTGTCAGTTAGTAGAGCATACCATACCGCACTATATGCGGCCAAAATGTACGAAACTCGCCTTTGTGATAACAGTATGTCCTCCGTGACTCTTCACAAAGTCAGCTACAGGACCAGACGGTGCCTTGTCGAGGGCATTGCCACCTGCCGCGAAAACGTCATGTGGTCGCCTCCTGGAAAGAGAAACCATATCGTACCAATGAACTGAGTAACTCTGGAATGATCGTACGCTGCCATGGCGTGGTCGTCGAGAAGCCTGCCACCTGGAAGTGCACAGTGGATGGAGGCGAAAGCGTTAAAGCCTCGCGTCCCAAGTACGAGGCGGGCTTTTACGACATTTTCCTCGCTGCGATCCCCAACCCCAGTGGATTACGTAATCTCCGCACGCATTGGGGATACTGCCTGACACTGGCAGCCTTGCGTGAAATGAATTGACCAGAGCGGTAGTATACGTACGTACTGAGGGTTGAGCCGAAGTTCGATGACCTCAGGAAGTGGATGTGCAACGCCATACCCATATGCCAACTGCAGCTTAAGAACCCCTCCCCCCACGTCCCCACGCGCACGGCATGAGTGTATATTCCAAGCCTCGTATATCATTGGACAATGGATCTCAGAATTTGTAGTACGGCCGGATGCAACCGAGTCATCCGACTCGGAGTCCGGCCTCCGGTGAATCGCGTATGCATATGGATGATGTGGGCCTAAATGCACGCCATCGGCCTTGCGGCTGCCATTTATGGTCGGCCTCGAGTTTAACGCGATAGGCTTCGCCGCGCCTCTCCTGTGCTCGAGCAGGGAGAATGCGTTCGTCTGCTCGCACAGAGACCGGCGGTTAGATTAATATGTAAATTACGAAGTGGCTAAGGCAAAGCATTTAATTATGAGAGTAGTAAATGTAAATGGTAACATTTTTACCACAATAGCATAGAATGAGGTTCTAATCCAGATTGTATGATTTTCATATGCCTGCGGTGATAAGTCGCAAACTAGACAACAATAAGTATAAGTATGTGGTCTCAGCGACACCGCTTAAATAAATCCTCGAGGAGACCTGGGAAACGCGGTCCCGGCACTTGGAGATGCCGCGCCACCGGCCAGGCTTGATCAAGCTTGCCGCCGCTCAGGCTGGTGAAGAGCGCATCTAAGCTGGTTGTCCTGTGCTCCTCCCCTACCGCGCCCGCCATTTAGCAAAAGAACAACCGGCCGCGGACCGCGGCGTGACCTCAGGCGATAGAGGTGAGCGATGGGGGTCTCGTCGTACCACTCATTGGTCTAATCATCAATGGTGAAGTGAGTCTGCGATGCAGCCTTCCGAGTATGAGATTCAGCGCGAGGTAGAGGCTCTTCGGGATATTCGAAGGCGTTCGACGGCAGACGGACTGACTTCTTTCATACTGGACCCGGATCTACCAAGTTCTCCGACCGCGTCGTCATCCACTTCACCGACGTACTGGCCGTCGCCCGATGACTCCAGTGGTAGCTCACACGAGGAGGGTAGTGAGAACAGTCCCATTAACGCCAACGATGACCCATCACATCTTTTCTGGGTCCCGGCTCGACTGCATCCTGAGATCGCTCCTGCTGAGTTCAGACAGTTTCTGAAGGAGCATGCTCGGAACCCTGCGGATGAGACTAGTGCTTTAGCGCGCTCGGTATCCAGTGGCTCTATAGGATTGGACAGGAAGAAGTCTTTGCTTAGCAGGCAATACAAGCCAGCTCCAAATGATGGCATCGAAGACGAGCAGGTTGTGCCTATCAGGCGAAATCGAAGTGTCTATTCGCGCCCTGGCCCACAGCTTACAATCAATGACTTGCAGAAGCTGGAGGAATTGGCGGAGGAAGCATCCAAAAGTGACGACCCTACTCGACTTAGAAGTGTGTTGCGCCGAAGTCTCAGTCTCAATGTGTCCCCATCAGGTAGATATTCCTTCGTTTCCGCATCCACGGTGGCTCATGTGTGTAGTTATCGACCAAATGGACGATATGCCAGACCTGGGGGATGATGTAGACTCTCCAATTGTGATCCCGCGTCCAAACCAGGCTCTCCGTCGTTCAGCACGTACGAAGATTCGAAAGCCAGGCACCGGGGAAGGCGCACATCGCTTTACTGCGACACGGCGAAAGAAGTCTGTGAGCCGCGCAGCCACGATGCAAGAACTGCGGACATCATCTAGCGACCTGTCATCCAGCGATCACGGTCATGCTGATACAAGCCGGCGACCTCATGTAGAAGAGAGTATTCCGGCGGTCCCTCCTTTACCTCGGCCAGAGTCTTTTAGCGAAGAGGCACTGATATATGATGCGTATGTGACAGACGAACCAGACGAATTGGATTTATCCTTGAGAACGGAAAGCCCTGAGCCCTCGGTAGACTCTCATGTTTCACCACCACCTTCCACGACATCACACTCAGAAGCCCATGAACCTCTTTCAGAGCCGGAACCAGTCCTTCATCATCCTCAACCACAACGAGCCGTTGCTCCTCCGGTATCTGAGCCTCCAGTATCGGCACGTTCTCCATCTCCCCCTCAACCCTCATCTTCGTCGCCTAGTCCAGCTCCTTCTATCAACGTATCTCATCGACCGCCTTCCGAAGAAGCTCCCACACGCCATTCCCGGTCTTCAAGTATCTCCGAGCAGCGGAAGGATAAAGACAAAAAAGGAGGTCTTTTTGGAAAGTGGGGCAGCGATAAAAGCAACAAGAAAACTAAAGAAAGTCGCGAACGAGAAAAGGAGAAGGAGAAAGAGAAAGAGAAGGATACAGGCTTTTTTGGATCGTTGTTTGGTGGCAAGAAGAAGCAAGACGACACGCCCGCACCGCTTGGGATGGGTGCATCTGGACGCGAGACTGCCGCTGCCCTGCTTGGCGCTTCCAAATCGTCTAAATCTTATGTTCCTTCGCCATCTCCGCAGCTGGCTGGCATGTATGCGCGGTATCCCATTCATGTTGAGCGTGCAATCTATCGACTGAGTCATATCAAGCTCGCTAATCCGCGTCGACCACTTTATGAACAAGTCCTCATTAGTAACCTGATGTTCTGGTATCTTGGTGTCATCAACAAGACACAAAACACAGCAGGCCCTCAAGGAAATTCTGCAGCTCAACCTCAACCTCAGAGCCAACCTACTCCCATACCAGATCAAGAGCAACTAGAGCGAGAACAGAGGGAGCGAGAAGAGCGAGAGAGGGCAGAAAGGGAGCGGATGGAGAAAGAGCAGGAGCAGCGGGAAAAACAACGTCGGGGCAGTTTGACTAAGCAGTCGACGTCGGGAACCCCGCCTGGGACTCGACGAGCAGAAATGCCCGTTCGTGGACCTCAGTACGAGATGCAGCACCGGGCCATGGAGCAGGAATATGGTTATATGCCGCCTTCAAATGGAGCCGGCGGGGCGACACTAGGTCGTACGTCATCCATCCCTACCTCCGCTAACAACTCTCTCCCGTATCAATCCTCCCCACCTCCGCGTTCTTCATCTGCACCACCTGCACAATTCTCGGTGCAGCTTGTCCATCCGCAGCCGCAGCTTGCTAACGGCAACATTCATAACGCCGCTATGCAATCTCAGCACTATCCTCCGGCGACAGGTGCGCAGCTGCCTCCCGGTGCGATGTCTCCCGTGGCTGTCGAACAGACTTGGCTAGCTACAACCAGTGTTGCACCATTGGCCCCGCGGGGTTCCTCGTCGACGTCTCCTCCACCAAGAGCTAGCTCCCCTCCAAATTCGATGCCGGTATCGACGTCTTCCTCAAGACAAGCGCGATCACCCCCACCAAATCGATATACACCTGCGCAGGAAAAGCAACCGTTCAGTGGGGGCAGGTCACCCAGCCGGTCGTTGTCCGCCTCTGCGGCCCCTCCTATGATGCAACAAACTAACGGCAAACTGAAGAAAGGTATCAGTGCACATGCGGTGGTTCAGAATCGTAGACGATCGAATGAGGAAGAGGATGTGCCATTAGCCGTATATCAGCAACAATATCGACGGAGATGATCAGCCGCGGACCTTTGACATTTCGCTTTTCTGTAAGTACGTGTTGCTTGTATCCGTCTCAGCATCATCTAGATATCCTTGCAATTTACGTTGTGGTGGGTTTATTCACGTCTATGTCGTCACCGTCATGAAGCCAGTGACCGTTGCGATGTATCGGATCTGTATTGTGTACTGCCCCTTCCCTCTAACAACCATTGCATACGAGCCACCGCTTGTCGCTCGGACAAGCAATGCATCCCGGACTATTGATGCTTCTACCTTACAATATGGATTACATTATTACGCTCGTTGCATTCTGTATGTGCATCCACAATTCCGACCGCAGACAAATGTGCCTCCGCGCAGACACCTTCACATATGCATAAATTCAGGCCCCAGGCATGGCAGGTACCATACCCCGAACATGCTCTGCCTTGTCCAATTTGCAACGACGATGGACAAGGCTTAAGATCATATCAGTCAGGAGAACAGGATGCAAGACAGGATGGACTTCCAACAGAACACCTGTATACGCCCGGTTGATAGGGCAGCGACCATCACGCTGGCCTAGATGATGCTATCTCTTGGTTTCAGGAACTCCTAGGAATCCTGATGCGGCTGAAGGTATGGTGCAGCATGGGTGTCCTACTTATCCAGCGACTGCATGGATATTCTGTTCTGCATTGCGAGCGAACATGGTCGAAAATAATCGGCTGAAGATCATTTCTGCTGTCACGGGGGGACCCGGAGAGGGCCGAGGGAGTTAATGGCGAACTGAACCTAAAGCGTGGGATGAGGCACTGACAATGGGTGGCATGTGCGGTGCGGGCTCAGATGTGAATGGCAAGCATTGTGAGAGAGAGCGATAATAATGGAGGGAGGAGAATCTGATGCCGGTGGCTGATTCGGGCGGAGACTCGAGAGGATCTGGCTGGGGCGCGATCTCAGAGAGCACAAGCGAAGCGAGAACAGCGCGACGCCGACTGGCATCTCAGTTTGTCTTCCGTCTGCCATCTCGTCCGCCCCGCCCCGCCCCCGCGCTCCTTGCTCCCGACCACCATCTGCTCCTGCATGCCCGCTACATGAAGCCTGAATTCCCCTCCATCCGGGCCTCCAAAAATTACCCTTACTCTTCCTCGTCCTTTCCAGCAGACTCTCATCAACATCAAACGTCCAACTTCCATCAACCTCGTGAAAGCTCTCCAGCTCTACCATCCGCTCGATCTTTGGTTCCAAAACACTCCACGCTCACTGCCTTCCGTTCCGTCTTCCAACGCCCTCCAACCCGCCTTTCCTCCAACAACTCCCTTCACTCGTCCTTCTCTGCCTCCTCCACCAAAGCCCCCTCTTTTTCCCCTTCATCAGATTCCCGCGTCCTGCATCCGTACGCAGCTATGGTTGCCGCACCGCTTCCTGTGGTGTCCAGCCACGATCCGTCTGATGAAGAGGAGGAGTGTCCAGTCTGCCTCGAGCCTCTCAGTTTCAGCTTCAGGTTGCCTGGCGAGAAGCCTCATATAGTCCCTGAGTGTGGTCACGCCCTTCACGAAGTGAGTATATCGCTCATCTCTCCGCCTCACGACGTCTCGACCACATTCCAACCCTGCGCATCTGCTGGAAAACTGCGCGACTAGATGGATCATGGTCACTGCACCTCAGTAGCACTGCCATGCATATTTCCCGTCTCACCTTCCTTGTCCTATCCACCCTCACTGTCATGCATATGCTGATGCTGGTGATTTTGTAGGCATGCTTTATTGCTGTATATGGACCGCCACCAGGCCCCTCAAGAGCAGGCAATGTCGTCCGCAAAACCAACCTTGGTGTGTGCGGTCTCTGTAGACGACCTATGAAAGTCGGCGACGGCGATGGTGGCAAATCCAACAGTAAGTTCTCTCCCAGCGCGTTGACATCGTGCGAATTTGACGATATGACACACAATGTAGAATTAGCTGCTCTCACCGGCATGGGCGATCCCAACGGGCCATCGTTATTTCCGGGAAGGGACACACCCTCTTCTTTGCGCTCTTTCAATCCCCGTGGGGGTCATGCGACGCCGAAGTCGTATGACCCGAATGAAGATGACCCTGTTGAGCATGTTCTCAAGTCCAGTGCCACCAACTCCCACGAACAATCGCACTACATCGTTTCACCGTCCATTCAAGTGCGTTCGGAGTTCACGTCTCTTACTCGGACATCCGAATCCAGTCAACCTCTGACATGCATAGTTGTTGTCGAGCTACCCGGCAAGCGGCTGAGCACTCACGTTCCTGGCGCAGTGATGCCTGTGCAGCAGGATACGTACACACCTAGAGGTGGGAGTCACTATCAGCAAGACGACAGCAACCATTCAGTTCGGTCTGGTCCACGGCCGGAGTACAGCCCGGGGCACCAGCCAGTGTCCCCTGGAGATCAGCATTCACAAACTCGCTCGCAGCATATGTCTCCTGCTTCATCCCAAAATCCACTCGTGTCGCCCCAGGAGGATTCGCTACCCGACAACTCCCCGTTTAATGCCATTACTGAAGACTTGCGAAATCGCATCATTGACTGGAAGGGACATCCACTTTCTGGGCTTGGTCCATTGCAGATGTATGATTTACTATCCGTGAGGCGCGACGCTATGGTGCGCGAGTTCTTTGTCTATCTCTTCCGCGAAGCGATTATTTGCGTCGTGGAAGAGAAGAAGCGTACCCTGGGCCGCTTACTTTCCACGGCGTCCGGGGCCGCTTCCGCATTTGGCGATGGCTCGGGGATGAGCGTTGCAGGTCCAAATGGGCCGCAGAAGGGCGTCCTGAGGCTAAAGGGTCGCATATACATCCGTCACATCAAGCAGGTCACCGACACATCGGTCGCGGGCGAGCTGAGCCTGACCATCGATATGGAAGACGAGCGGTTGGACTCATTTATCCTGATCTTCAAAGACCGCTCGTCGCTGGAGACGTGGAAGGCGCATATACAAGCACTAGTCAGCATGTCACAGCAGCAATCTGCGACACAGACCCGCGAAGCGGCCCCCACGCAACCGGCCCCCGACTTGGAGGAGTTTGGTGGGAGCCAGAAGGCAATGCGCATGCTCAGCGGAAGCACCGGGACCACGGTGAGCACGACGGACAGCCTCCTGCTCAACGGGTCAGCCCGCTCAACGGTCTCCTCGCATACGTCTTACGGCTCGGTTTCGGGCACGCCTTCCGTGTCGCATCCGCACCAGCCACGAGCCTTGCAGCATAAACTCAGTACCCTTGATGAAGACGAGGAATTCAGCCGGTATGGCTCGCCAACACCTCTCGTTGCGCCACATATGTCCGCCGGGCCGAGCAACTCGCTGCAGCCGCTGCCGCATCCAGCGTTGGACCTCATTCTCGTGATATCTATACCATCACCGAGTGCGACGCCGAGTACAGCTGCTTTGAAAGTGCGGGTCATCAAGGCGTCGCTGGACTTTATCATCGCGTCGATGGGTCCGAAGGATCGTCTGAGTCTTGTCACGTTCGAGGTGGGCATAGGTGGGCGCGTGCGAAAAACGCCGTTCTTGTGCCCTGGGAAACCGGCGAGCCGATCGCGTTTGGTGAAATTCGTGAATGAGATTGGGCGAAGGGAGGATGGGACGCCGTTCGAGGACGAATTCTTGGTGCGGAGTTCCCAGGATGACAAGACAGATGTTGTCACTGCTGTCAATCATGGTATGTGGTTTTGCAAAGTGTTTCCGCGTATGCAAAGCTAACAGTGATGTGCAGGGCTGGATGTAGTTTTGCAGCGCAAGACGCGCAACCCAGTGACAGGAATGATCCTCGTGAGCGACGCTGCGGATACGACGCGACGTGCGCAGATGGATCTTGTACTTGCGCGAACAGAGGCCGCGAACGTACCCATTCATTCGTTTGGTTATGGTCGATCGCATGACCCTGCGTCGCTATGGCTAATGTCGAATCACACCAGTGGCACGTACACATTTGTGAAGGACTGGTACGACCTCCGAGACTGCCTGGCCGGGTGTATTGGGGGGATGATGTCTATCGGACTGCTGCACATGAAATTGCACATGAAGATTGTTGATGGGCAGCGGTTCCGGATACGCAAGATCTCCGGGGGACCTATGGCAATTCTTTCTTCAGATGGACGAGACGTCGATGTTGAACTCGGCGAGCTCCGATATGGGGAGAAGAAAGAGATGCTGATAGAACTTGAACTCGATAACAGCGATGTCGCGCAGATGGCTCCGCCCCAGCTTACGAACAACGGTATGCAGCGGCAGCTCAATGCAACAGACCAATTCATGGGTCGCATGGGTCTCGACGCGTTGTCGATCGCGGACTTGCCGGACCTCGCGGACGGCATGATGGATCGCATGATTGACGAGGTTCCAGTGTTTGAGGTTGACGGTTCCTTCTTTGATCCTGCCGCAGCGAAGAACGTCTCGCGTCTCGCGCACCCTGTACTGCTTACTGTCACACTCCTGCCGAACACCGGTAGCCGACCACGCACGCCTGCAGCGAACGGCTCGGACCCAGTGATTGTGCGTCGGCGCATGGAGCTGCTTGCATCGGATATGATCACTCGAGCGCTGGTGCTGGTATCGCGCAAGAACTTGCCGCAGGCTCAGAAACTACTGAATGAAACGCGGCGTATTCTGCACACCGTCTTGCAGAACATCACACAACTGCTACCATCCAACCGGGAGGGCATTACAACACGGAACCGCAAGGAGCTCCTCTCGCTCTCTGCTGCGCGGGCAATCCAGGCGATGTTGCAGGACATGCAAGTTTTGTCAGAGGCGCTAGAGGAGAATGCCGATTTCTTTGTACATGATCAACGCAACTTCGGCGCCCAGCAGGTATGTGATCTCGTTGCATTCATGATGGGTGTCGTTAATGTCGATCGCTGTGCAGGCAATGGTCCTCCGCGACCAGAAGAGCTGGAGTGGCCGAAGCGCTATCGAACGATTGTTCTGGACAATCGATAATTCCATCGACCTGGTCTCTCGAAGTACTGACTGGGTTGCCCGCGAATGATCGCTCCATCTACCGTCTCTCGTTGAAGAACTGTTTTTCACTCTCACCTAATGTTTTTAGTTCTCCAAAGTATCGTCGCCCATAGTATATATTGCCTTCTCAGCTACCGAGTGGCATGTCCTTCATACCATCTTCTGTGTTTATTATTCCCTTTGGCGTCGTTGTTCGGATCTTGTTCTCAGTCACGGTCTAACGTTCCGACCTGTCGCGGTTTGTTCATACTGGTATACCCTTGCTCGGGGCGTCGAGCTAGGCGACGCGCGGGCTAATCTCTGAATTTTACCGTAGTCTCCGACGAATGGCGGACGGTGAATGAATGGTCTAGCGATGATGTATATCTGTAAGGTCGTCGTTCATAGAAAAACATATGCGCTATGTTACATGACAACATTTTGGGTGACATTGGGACGGGAACGCAGTGGAAAAGATTGCTCAAGTATGGCACTCCCGTATTCGTATATCGAGCATGAATCATACAAATTACACCACTCGGACAAGAATCTGTTTACATTGAATATATACAGCGGAGCCTCAGAAATGATACTTCACATTCGGAAGGGCGTGGCCACATGAAGAGCCGCCGACTCTCAGTTCCTTAATTATTCCGACGATCTATAAATCTATTGTCTTGTCTGCACTGTAGCCCGGTCCACCCTCGCCGTAGCCCCGCTGGTTACTGTAGACCCGTACGCCGGCGCGCTCGAAATCGCAGCTCCAGTGTGTATGCCCGAACGCCCAGAGAACGACGTTCCCGGTCGTCCAGCACGGCTCGCCCGTCAGCTCAGTGGCAAATGCAGAATTGGTAGGCTGCCCCTCGTACTTGGGATCGCCGGTACCGGAGAGCGTCGGTGCGTGGTGTGTGAACACGACGATCTTCCGAGCTGGTTCTGCCTGGGATATCATGGATATGGTAGCATTCAGCCACTCGAGGTCGGCGTTGTGGATAGCAGTGAACGATTCCGGGTCGAAGGAGGAGATACGCCGGAAGTCTGTCAGCGACCAGGAGAGGATGTCTAGATCATCTGGATTCAATGCAGCCCAAAGCGTGCAGCCAAGAATGGTGAGCTCCGCAGGCACGTCGTGGCGTGTACGGTTTAGAAAGATAAATTCGCCTAGCGATTGGTCGGAATTGATGTCGTCAGCAAAGTTTTGAAACCTGGCGACCGATTCTACCTGTCAGACGGCGCCACAATGGAGAAATGAGCCCACATCACAAATGTTAAAAATATAAATGCGACATACAATCGATGAACGGTATGGTTCTGTGACATAGTCATCAGCCATTCATAGGGCTGGATTTGAACGTTCTTGATTGCCAATAGACAACCGTGATGCACGTACCATGATTTCCGGAGACGAAGTAGACAACCTTGAAAAGCTCCAATTGTTTTCTGAGCCAATCGAATAGTCTGTCGTCGATCGACCAACCGATGTCCCCGAGCAATGCGAGATGTTCTGCTTTCACTGGTATGTCGTAGAAGTAGAATTCTTGGCCGGCGGGGCTCCCTTGTCGTTCGATCTCGAGGTGGAGATCGCTCACAATCTGAATGCGCATATTTTTTCAGTGATCAGAATGTCACTGTAGTGGGATGATCCTTTATTTCATTGGTGAGTAATGTTTTAAAACTTGGATGTTGTTACTATGATGCGGCTATTCGTCAAAGTCAAAGCGTGATGATAAGCCTCAATGATCGTCGTGTGAGCGCTCGTCATAAGTTCGAGCCTGAGTTGACGCCACACTTCCGTAGCCTTAATAATTTCAAGTTCAAAGTTATGCATTCAAGCGTCGTTGACATGTCCGGCACGTCGACTGCTCAGACACTTCCCTTGTATGATTCCGACTTGTACGAATTCGTACCCAAGACCTCATTGATTACTTCTACTGTAGTCGAGAGCGACCCCGGTCTTCGTCTCTCTCCGACAAAGTACCCCTGGCCATATGGCTTCAATGCCGCGGTATCTAAAATTCTCAATGAAGCTAACATTCCGGCCTTCATTTGGGGAGATCTCCTGAATAATTGGAGGGGAAATCCTCACATGCCGCACGTAAGTCGACGTCGATTAAGCCGATTCTACCATGTCTGATGGAATGTTTAGACCTGTGGATTTGTCGTACCCGCATACGATTTCGAAAGAGCAGTCGAAGCGATTTCCGGCGCAGGTCTACCTATGTGCACCTGCGAGGATTTCTTGCACGTATCCGAATCCGGCTCTCCGATATCGCTTCCTGTCCACTTTGTCGTCCCACAGGAATATGTACCCGTCTTGCTGTTTTTGTGTCCCAGTGATTTACTTCTCGATCTCCTCCCTATCACCCCCGCTCACCCAAACCCGGCCTCTCTCTACTTTGATCGTATCAAACTGCCTTTTACTAACAGCGCCGTTTTTCTTCATGACGATCCGACAGCTTCATCGTCTGAAGACTATCAGGTTGTATGTGCACTGACGGCGTCCAGCCTCATAAAGGCGTGGCTCTTGCTTGATGCGCTGTCTCCGCCCAATCGCAGAGGAATTTCCTATACTTATGCATTCCTTCTCCACATCATGGCCGTCGATGTTTCTCCTGGCCAACACGACTTTCACTCAAAGTCCCTTCAAGCGTTGTGGCAACAAGTATATCTGAATTCAAATTGCGAGACGACCAAGCGGGAAGAACTCATCGGCCAAGTTCGATTGGAATGGGGAGATCGGATCCCACATAGATGCTAGAACACCGGCGTAACAAAGATCAATCGACTAGTGGATGTACTCTTTTGCATCAAAAGATCAGTGCTGGTTAGACAAACTGCAGAATGGCCTTTTCTTCCACGGTCAAGGATGTGTTCAACCGACTTATTCGAGTAGTCTCCATAGCTCTCGAGTTATGCAACAATACAAGTTGCTCCGCAAGGTACATAGTTCACCAAGAATGAGTATCAAGCCAGTGGGGAAGTGACTTGAATCAGAACTTAAGCCTCCAATGAAACTAATTGTGCCAGGTCATATTCCGCATCCTCGCGTTATGAATGATATCATGACTCCATTAGTACGACACTATGATTTGCAAACACGTAGACAGGGAGCAAAGCAAGCAGTGAGCAAGAAATGAGACCCAGACAGTAGATACGAAGAAACAGCTATATGCACCGCATTCCGATGAAGCAATAAACGATGGCCCAGCTACGAGAATCAAAGAGCTCAGCTCTGATATGTGTGATCTAATAGCAGTCAATGTGATATAAATATCCGATGACTGAATCCCTCTATTTGAGCAGTATCGCCGCTGTGCTCACTGGCTCACCAATGCCCATCCCCGCCGTCCTTAGGAACCGAATACGGGTAGTCCCAATTGTGCGGGTCGTATCCTCCGGTCTCTTCCGTCGTCTCAGGCTCCGGCTCATACTGCTCAGCTCCTTGAGGTGAGGTCGGAAAGGTTGACGGTGGGCTAGACGGATTAGGCACAAGTCCGCCTGGGTGATGGTAGGAGAACGTCGACCGGTCGGGGACTGGCCGATCAGTGTGGTCCCAGCGCAGCTCGTTGGGGTCGGCGACAAACGAAGAGGGAGTAGGGTACGTCTGTTGGGATGAGTTGGCCATCCACGTGTCGTGCATTGCGCCTGCACAATGTCAAGCTCATCGATGTGACGTTCAAAGTGGCGATAAATGGGTGGAACCACACACCTGGATAGTATGTCCTTATAGGACCACCGCTTGGCACCGAGGTCGGCCATTGCATGTGGTTGGCCTGTGGCGCCGTGCCAAGCCCAGGGTGGTGATATAATGGTCCAGATGCAGGGTAGTGCGACGTCTCCCCATACAATGGCCCCACCCCTCCAGGTACGCCGGGATATGCAGGAGGAACGTTGTAGCTTGCAGAATGCTGCCAGTGGCCAGCAACTGGTGCAGGTTGGGGATAGGCTGGCCACATGCCAAGGTTAGACTCTGAATGAGCGGGAACGTCCGTCCCATGCACGAAATCCGATGAATAGGTTGTTGCCGGCGGCGGCGATAGTCCTGATCCTGGCGACAAATTTGCAACGTGAGGTGCAGTGTCAGCTATTGCTGTACTACTTGAGTTGCGAGTATTGGTCCGACGAGGCGCAGGACACACCTGTGCTAGACAGAGCGCCCCTGATGGTCGCCGCATCATGATCATCCGCTCGCGCTCGACGTGACTCACGACGGGCGCGCCCCGTCCGAGGGTAAGGACTATGACTCGATCGTCTCGCTCGTCCCCTGGATCCACGTCCGCGGCCGCGAATTCCCGTTGGCTGAGATGACGATTCGGCACCATCGCTCTGGAATTCATGTTGATGGAAAACACCCAAACTAGACGCACCAGCCTGCGGAGTAGACGACTGCCACGATTGCCCCCATACCGGAAACTAGTATATCGTTCGTTCGTCACCTACAGACTGGCAGAACAAAGAGGAGCGATCCACCGTACCTTCAGTTCTGCATGGCTGATCGTTGAAGTGAGCTTTCTGGGAATCCGAGAGGACGAAGGTTTATTGCCCTCGGGTGTATTTGGCTTCTTCACCATCACCCAGAATCTCTTGGTCGCAGAGCACAAAAAATCAAAGAGGAACAGACGGAATGATTCCGTCCGTCAGGGCGGCTGCTTTCATACTAGTCCGGGAGAAGACGAACAAAAGACCCGTCAACGGCAACATAGCCACCCACATCCAGAAATTCCCGCTAAACTGCCTGCAAAATATTTATATCAATAACCTGGAGTCGAGGAAAGATTCGTGAGACGAGCCTTGACGTGACATCAGCGCAAAACGCGTGTACAAGGCGTATATGGCAGGACACTGTAAAAAATCCGACACCGCTGTTCTCCTTGCATGAGCGTATACGCGATGCGCGCGGCCGGCGCAAGTGAAGCGAGCCCCTATGTGTCCATGTCGAATGGAAAGGGCAGGTGCTCCTCACTCATTGACAGCAGCGCTAGAACACTTGATCGAGCCACACGGACGCATCGCCTCCGACAACCTAATCTCCAGGAACTGTACAGGGTCTGCAGGCGACGGCACTCTCCAAAAGGGTAACGGGGGAATGTAATCATGAATATTTTGTGTAAACCTTAACCGTGCGCGGAAACCCGGCGACAGAAGCCATGCGGCTCTCACCGCAGCGGGCAGAGAGCAGTGGCGGCCTCGTACCCGGAAAGAATCTCCGGTGCACCACCGTAATGGAACCGCACCATTTCATATGATCATGGACTCACGCAACTGGGACAAAAACAAATGTCACGCGGGTGAGCAGCGGGGCCTAGACGTAATGCAAGAGGACTCACCTGGGCAATAAAGCCTGAAGGTATACTTGTGTGTTTTATCGCCAAAAAGGTCTTAACGGGGGCCTTGATAGCGAGATACACCGCAGCGGGAGCTTGTTTTCGTCAACCGGTGCTGGGGCTACTGCCACAAAACAAGAATTCTGGTATAGCGCGCGTAACGAGCCGACCTGAGCGGGAAGTCACTAGGTTACCTTCAAGACAATGGCGTCGTGGCGATACATTAGGCTGTGAGGTGACAGGATAAACACCACAGCAGACCCATAGTAATTTTCCTCACGCTTTCGAAGACTGGTGCCTCAAGATCACTAGAAACAGCCGCAAAACGAACTTGAATGGACTGATCCAACGGAGGCAAGGAATGTCGCAGCCCAAAGGCGCGTGTGCTTATTGGATTTGTACTTGAAGAAGGGCTTGCACCCATACAGCCAAACAAGAGTAAATCAGAACTCTGCAGCCGAACGTCAAGCTCTCCGCATCCGAAAAGTGTTTGTGCAGTCGACGACAACCGAAGGCAGCAAATTGGCCGCGTCAGAGATCCCATGTGGTAGAAAGGGTGGATATGATGCAAATAACATCCCCAATATATTTACTCGAAAGGCGCCGCGTGGCCGCGGACACTACCTTGCTCGGGCCATTCCGCCCACTGGTGGTTAAGGTACGCAATTGCACAATAGGTTATTACAGTAAAATGTACAATATAGAAATTGTATGTGGCGTGTGGATGACGCATCCCCTCGCGAGGAGGGGTTCCACTTAGGGGGAAGAGTGTCAAGGAGCCGTTGCGCACGTCGATAGCATGCGTAGCTCTCCGAGCAAGGGAAATACAAGTCCACATCTTTCTGTGCATTACTGCGATTACATACTAGCTTTACAACATTTGTTATCATGACTGCTCCTCTTTGCTCAGTGTTACAACACTGGATCTAGTCTCTTGGTCAGCATCTTCCTCATATCCTTCAACCTTCATGTCATTAAGACCGAGCTCTTCATTCTGCTCCCACGTACGATCATATATCTCGATTGTCATGTTGGGATCCGGGTCCGGTGCATACAAGCTCTGCAAATACGAGTTCGCCAATGGGTCATCGAGAATGACCGTGAATGGCTGTTCTGCACTCTTGACCTAACGAGCGAAGCTCATGAATAGCTAGGTAACGGGATATTGTTGACAACACTCACCTGCTTGAGCCTCTTCAAAAATTTTTCAAATGCCCCATCGTCCGAATTAGAGTCGCTTGCTGCAAAAACTTTCTCTGATAGCTCTTCGTAGACCTGGTCCAGGATACCCTCCAATGTTGTGAATCGGCCACCGAGTGTGCCTGCCTGTAAGACCAGGTCGACCTCGGGAATCGCAAGACCACAAGTTTCGCTCTGTGGTGGTCAATCGCTCAGTTATCGCGCTGATATCACGGCACAAAGCTTGAAGAGCACCTTGAGGATATCACGGCTAAGATCTTCGCGATCTTCCACTTTGAGTGTGATCCGCTTTCCCTGAGGCGAGATGGCCGATCCCGACTTCACCTCGTTATCTCGGTATCCACATCGATCACAATTTGTGGACATAATGAGGATATCCTAGATATTAAGTTACGGATTTTGATGAGCGAGATTGATGCAGTGTAGATGAATCGGCAGACCTTGAAGTACGGAATATTCACTTTCTTGATAAGTGTATCAAGTGGATGTCCACAACTTGAGCACGTCCCGGGAAACACATATATTTCCTCGTTCTCGCCTTCTAAACCTCCGCCTATCCTGCCCACATCTTCAGCCGCAAACTTATCTCCTGCCTTCGATTCTTTCGAGGGATCTGGATCATCTCCGGAGACCAAGCCGAGTTCAATATTTTGTTGCCGTGACCGATGATATGTGCGCATATTCCATTTTGGGTCTGTCATGCTATCGACGAACTCTACAAATGAGTTGCCAGCCGGGTCGTCCAATCGCACCGTGAAGGCTATATCCTTCTCGGACGCCTTTCGCACCTTGACCTTACCGGCGCCGGTCTCCTCGTCCTCGTCTTCATCGTCGGCCAGAATCTCTTTGAAGCCGTCGATAATGGTTTGAATTTTGTTGTATGCAGCTTCGTTTTCTATACGACGAAGAGGCTGGTCCGCACCAAGATCGGAGACGACGTCACGGATCATCCCCTCGATCGTCGTAAGCTGACCGCGCAATGCAGGTATTGTGAGCTCGAACTCCGGAATGCTGACGGTGCATGAAGCGGATTTCACAACTTGACGGTCGAGATCTTCGCGAGAGAGGACACGGACAGTGTACACAGTACCCTCCGCTACAGTTGACATCGGTCAGAAGGAGCACGGCATAACAGATAAAACATACGTCTGATGCTGCCGGCTGACTGTATCTCGTTATTTGACAAGCCGCAGCTCTCGCAACGAAAGGACATGACGACGACTTCGCGGAAAAATGGGATTGAAGTGAGAAGAAGCCTCGTAACCCCCTGCTCAGAAGGTTGAGCATCCAACAGCCGTCGTCTGATAAAGCAGAGCGCACCTGCTCGCCGCACGTCATGCATAGAGACTCTATTTCCTGTACTGGTCGGTCGTCATCCTCCGCCGGTTCAACTGTATCACTGAAAGCGACTCTTTCTTCCTGTTCCTGTTCGGAACAGGAAGAGAGAGTCGTGTTCCGTGAGACAGTTGAACCGATGAGCTTCTCGGTCTCCTCAGCGACTGCTCCAATAGAAGGGAAGAGTTCTGCGTGGTTGGACATGGGGAAGGAGGACGTCGGCACTTTGTTCCGTACGCGAGGTCAAGGCTTTGAGGGAGGGTTTGAGGAGGGAATGGTATATCTGCCGAGTCCAAGTGAAGCCCTGGTGGATTGTCTCGAGTCCAGGACGCTGGAAAATCTCGATCGCGATTCATCAGCAAAGCGTCATTGGACCTGAAACACCTCTGTCTCACGAGCCTTGTGTGAGGTCTCCGGGATTGCCTCGTCCTGTTTTCATCTGGCACCTGTACCTGGCACGGTGATACATACATTAAGACAACTATAACCACACGAGTGTTACATCCAGGCCTACAGTAAGGTAACTCATTATAAATATCTTTTGGGATGTATCACGACCTGACCGCGTAGTGCGCTCCTCCCGTCCTGGTTGTAGGGTACCAGGATGTATCACGGCCTGATCACGCATGCCCCTAGGCCTCCCACTCTGGTTGTATCAGTAGAGCACTAGGTTGTATCATGACTTGACCGCGTATCCCTTCTCGTCCTGGCCGCTAGTAGGGCACCAGGGTGTATCACGGCGGCCTGGTCACGCACGCCTCTCCAGGATGTATTACGGTTCAGTGACCATGCACACCTCTCCCATTCCGGCTACCAGACTATATCACTGCCCGGCAATTAATATATCAGGTGCGGGTCCCAATCTGGCTCAGCAACCCGCCACCGCCCCGCCCTGCTGACCGGTTCCTTGGTGTGTCTCTCGATTTTCTTTGGGTACCCTTCCCGCCTTACCGCACTCATTCTTATGCGCGTCACCATTCCCGCTCGAGCTGCCCATATTCGGTTCCCTAGTGCGTCTCTCGATTCTCCCGCCTTCTTGCGCCGCATTTTGTATGACCGTTTGGGCTGCTCCTCCCGCCTCCAATGACGTGAGTTTCCCCCCCTAGTGCCGCTCTCTGATCGCATTCCACTCCCATTTACGCTACTCTGCCCACTCGCACCACTGGCTGGTCGTCTGACTCTCAGGTCACGCTACGAGCTTCTTCAGGGCAGAGAACACTAAGGGGATGTATCCTACAATCTGGCTAAGCGGATGTATACTGCAAAGTCTGTGCCGCGCAGAGGATGTATAGTACTGTCCTGAAAATGAGCAGATGTACAACAGGCCTGTATCTGAAGGGGATGTACATAGCCTCTCCAAGAACCCTCCAAAATCCAAACGTTTAGCTCGTCGTACCATCGCCGCCGTTTGTACGCTATATTCCAGGCATTGCGGATGTTTCTCGATGACGGTGTGATTTGCAGGCTCGTACGACTGGAAGTCAAGTCGATCTGTGGTTCGTGTGAGACTTCCTGTTGGTCTGTCTTTCAGATGCAACAACCGGGTGATCTACGATGCCGAGTCCAAAGCCTAGCTATGTTTAAGATGGCCCTGCCTATTCCTATGTTTTCACATAGAATCCGCGCCGTTTCTTTGCAGGCCTGTGTCAGAGATAGATGTCCTACATGCTTCAAACTTCACAGCTATTACTTAGCAGTCCCCCCCGTATCATCACAGATCATGGTATATCATTTGGAATCTCTGCCAGGCCGAGGATTTGTGAAAGTAACGCTCGATTTCGAGTACCGTTCGTTGGAAATCGCGAAGGACAGATTGAGCTTGGCCCACTCCCGCGCACGACTGGAGTATGTATAATGAGAAGCGGGAAGACCTGACAGCAGGCTTCAGCGCAAATTGGGTTCCAACTGTTTGCGACGGGACGGGGCAAAGCGACTCGAGGAAAGCTTTCGAACTTTGAGGTCTGCGCTTCAATAGGCCTTGCATGCGCCACTCCCATTGTCCGGAGATCGATATTATTGATTTGCTTCCGCGAAGGTTTGGTCAGACTTACTTCAAGTTTGGCGAGGTTTCCAGCCGACCCCCGGGGAGGCGTGCCCGCCGCAGCTATGACCCCCACCGCTGAGATATTTCCCCCTGATCGACTATTCGCACCCGAAGGCTCGACGACTTTAGGAAATTCTATAGCACTACTGAAACACATTATATTCACTGCCCTTCCTCCAGGAAGCCTCATTAGATACATGCCATACGATGAGAATTGTACAAAATGCAAAGTCAGTAAACGAAAAAGCAACGATAAACACACGAAAGTGCCTAGAGACCAAGATCCAGACTCCGTTCAAGCCAAGAATTCACACCATTAGACAGTCTCGGACATCTCCACAGGCAGCTGGCTGTATCCAGCACTGTTCCGCCGGCCACTCACAAGACTCCTGACGCTATCCCACGTATTGCGCAGGACACCCCCCAGACTGTCCCAGACCGACTCCCGGGGTATAATCTCGCCAGGCATGACGCTCGATGCCGGCCGTGTCCACCATTTCAGCATTAGCGAGGACGTCACGACGCTCACGGACGAGAACGCCATTGCCGCACCTGCCATCATGGGGTGCAAGCGTATACCCCACGGCAGGAAGAAGCCCATCGCGAGCGGGATGCCGAGCATATTGTATATGCACGCCCAAATGAGATTGCGCCGGATGGTCGCAAAGATGGCGCGGGAGAGGTGCAGCGCGGCGACGACATCGAGGAGATCCGAGCGCATCAGTACAATGTCGGCCGCTTCGATAGCGACTGAGGTTCCAGAGGATAACGCAATGCCGACAGAGGCCGCGACTAACGAAGGAGAGTCGTTGATACCGTCACCAACCTGTGGAAAACAATGATTTCAGTAGATACTAAGCATGAAGACGTAGACGTACCATAGCTACGCCCCCGCCATCCTTCTCCATGAGCTCCGTGACTACCGCCGCCTTGCCTTTCGGACTCATGCTTGCCCAGACGCCCTCCGGCTTAATCCCGACCTCTCTCGCGACGGCCAGAGCGGTGCCCTGCGCATCGCCGGTCATCATGTTCACCTCGATGCCCATGTGCTGCAGGGCCCTGATCGCATGCTCAGACGAGCGTCTCGGGGAGTCCATAAGCGCAAGAGCCAGAACGGGGGAAGGTCTAGAGACAGGAGAGCTCCCAATCGAGACAAAGATCGTCGTGAGGCCCCGCGCTCCTCCGTCTGTGTCGAATACAGAAAGCGCGGCAGGAAGTTCGACATCGTCAGATTGAGCGACAAAACGCGCGTTGCCGACGTAGATAATATACCGGCGCTTCTTCTCTGAAAGGGTCAGAGTCGCTTTCACTCCGGCACCTGGTACGCCTTCGAACGAGTTGATGGTCATCTCCGGGGCACCTATGATCGACTGCCGCAAAAGATCCTTGCCATACACCGCGACTGCCATGGCCAGAGGATGCTCGGAGCGTGCCTCCGTCGCAGCAACCATCCCAATCACCTCAGCGCGCGTGAGCCCATCTACACATTCGTCTGCCAGGGAACCCTCGTCTGTGGCATTCGCGTCGTTCCATGCGGATCCGACCACCGTGAGCTTGCCCTCCGTCACCGTACCGGTCTTGTCTAGGACAATCCGCTTGATTGACCTACTCGCCTCCAGCGCACGACCGCCCTTGATGAGGATGCCGTTCTTCGCACCAACGCCAGTCCCGACCATGATTGCTGTTGGCGTGCTGAGTCCGAGCGCACAGGGACATGCAACGACGACCACCGAAATACACAGCTGCAGACACACCGCCAACTTGCTCGCCCCCGGGGCGCGGAACATCTCCGGCAAGATCGTCTCCCTGAGCACATGCGAGATCACCATCCACGCCGAAAATGTGATGATCGCCAGTGAGATCACACCCGGCACAAAGTACCCCGCGACTCTGTCCGCAAACGCCTGGATTGGCGCCTTGGACGTTTGCGCCTCCTCCACAAGCCGCACGATCTGCGCGAGTGCCGTGTCTTTGCCTGCGCGCGTCACGACCATGTCGAATGTCCCGAGCCCGTTCACCGTACCCCCGATCACACTGTCCCCGACCTGCTTCAACACTGGCACCGGCTCGCCGGTCACTGCACTCTCGTCGATGCTCGAGGTCCCTTTCACAACCGTCCCGTCCGCGGGCACCTTGTCACCCGGCACGAGCTTTACCGTGTCGCCGACCTGGACGAGCTCCGTCGCGATCTTCTTCTCCTGCGTGCACGCCGGCGCATCCGTGTAGATTGTTGCCATCGACGGCGCGAGCGCCATTAAATCGGTCAGCGCCGCGCTCGTGCGGCCCTTGGCGCGGTTCTCCAGATAGCGGCCGAGGGAGACGAACATGATCAGCATCGTGCTCGTGTCAAAGAACACGAACGGGCGGTGGTCCTCATCGCCGCTGAGAATGGCGACGACCATCGCGGCCAGGGAATAAAAGTATGCAGCTGAAGTGCCCAGCGTGACCAGCACGTCCATCGTTGCACTGCCGTGTCGCAGCGCCTTGTACGCATTTCGATAAAACTTCTCGCCAATCCAGAACTGCGTAGGCGTCGTCAAAAGCAGCACCAGCAGATCGCCGAGGTATAGCCCGGGGATCAAGCACACGTCCACGAGCATGCATAACCCACCTATGTGGGGCGCAATTTTGCTGATGAAGAACACAGGCATTGCGAAACCGAGACTCCACTGGAAGCGACGTTGCCACTCTTGGATTTCCTTTGTCCGTGCCAGGGAGCGCAGCTGCGTTGCATCCTCCTGGTCGGACAGCATGGCATCAAAGCCCATTTCTTCAATACGTTCTACCATTTCGCGCGGCCCGATGACGCTGCGGTCGAATTCGACTTTGCATGTCTCCGTGGCCAGAGCGACAACGACGCTATTGATCCCCGGCATGGCGCCGAGCTGCGTTTCCACCGTGGATGTGCATGAAGAGCAAGTCATACCGTATACCCTGAGCGTCACCACGTCGGAACGCGCAGGGGGGATCAGGGTCGCATCAAAGCCAATGTCAGATATTTCCTGCAACACGGGAGAAAGTACACGATGCGTCCTATACGAGTAGTTGTGTGGGCCCACTCACGTTGATAAGTTTGTCTGGGTCCCATACGTTTGGGTCGAATTCGACGACACCGCGCTCTGCTAGTAAGGCCACTTTGATGGAGTATATTCCTGGTTGTGTCCGAAGCATGCCCTCTATCGACTGAGGTGTGCGTCAATTGCCGTTCGCGCGCGCAGAAACGGGCGCTGCTCACCTCGACGCAAGCACCGCAAGTCATCCCCTCTATTCTGAACTCACATTTCTCCGCGGCAAGACCGTCGCCCTTCAAAGGCTCAGATTCCGATGTGGGCAGCTCAACCTTCCCAGCAGCTGAGGTTGTGGAGGCCCCTAGGAGGTTGCTAAAGGCACTCGATAAGACCGACATGGCTGGACGCTATTCGCAAGCACAAGGCACAGTTGATGTCGCGAACCGGGGTGAGCGCCTGCGCGAGTAGAGATAGTAAAGAGCAAAGCAGTCGTTGACGTGTCGCCAGGCGGTGTAAAGAGGGTAGGGCGGTGTCTGAGCACGCTCAGAGCCGGCGAGAGCGTTAGAGAAAGAATGGAAGTAGTCAGCAGAGTTGTCATCGGGCGCGGTCGAGTCGCGCAGGAGGGATGAGGTATGTTTTTCCCACGGCCTGCTTTCTCCAAATTCACCTTCTCCCTCGCGCGCATAATGCAAAGTCCCATTGGCAGCGTGTTTCTTGGAGACGTCCAGCGCATCCGCCTCCTCTCCACTCCGCCCTCGTCCACCCCTCCGTCCTCGCCCCCGCCCCACCTTGCGTCCTCGGCCATGAACAGCATTCACGACCTCGACCTCGATGTGGTCGAACAGCCAAAACCTCTTCCGAAGCCCCCATCAATTCCGCCTGTCCTCTCTCTTGACCTGCGCCTCCGATGGCTCGAGACACTTTTGTACGGCGCGCGGACAGACACGGCCAGCGACCGAAAACACACAGACCTCAAGGCTGCGGGTTCCCTCGCCCGGCGCGCCGAGGAGCTCCAGCACAAACTGGACGCCGTCGTGCACGGCAATGATGGGCTGCGCAAGTTCATGGACCACTGTACGTCCCTCGTCCAAGCCCGTCTTTTGCTGCGTCACGTATGGGTGCCCCAGACGATCAACACGCGCAGTACCTCACCCCGGCCTTCGCGCTCTCGGGTGCGCTGCCTAGTGCTGAGCCTACATATGACAACATGTCACCCGGGGAGCTTGAGGCGTTCCTGACGGAAATGGAGTCCGACATACGCGCGGCAGAACGCGACATGCGCGAGATCAAGTCCCTCGAGGATCGAGATGTCCTAGGTGCCGGCAAGCTCGCAGACTACGAGGGCTTGCAGCCCCGTTTGGATCTTTTGCTAAAAGCCCACAAAGAGGATGCGGAACTTGCGGTCGCGCTCGAAAGACGAATCGCGACACTCATGGATCAGTATGCCACCCGCGTAGACACCCTTTCCGAGCTGTTTGTCGCGTGGGATGACACCCTCCGCGACTCGGAAGATAAGGTAGGCAAGGCTGAGCGTGATAGAGACGAAAGAAGGAGATTAGGCTACGAGTAGCCCCTTGATACCCTGGTATGATTCGTGGCTCTTTCATCTTGTCGAGACTCAACTAAACGGAGATCTTTAGGTGTGAAAGATACCCTGCTGGATCAGCGATCTGCCGACGCTCGCACAAGAACCTTTACACCTACCGACTGCAGTCCCGAAACGGACTCGACATAGACTCGGCGCATTGCACTGACTCTATCAAGTTGCTACTACTCTCGTCTTATCCTATGCCTCAGTGGTAGCTCTTGCTATGATGTACTATACGCACATCGATCATATAGTACGACCTTCATTTGTTTCCATGAGGTTGGGATTCCTTGCTGCGGCATTTATCTCTTGTTATCTCTCAATCGGAAATCTCTACAATGTGGCAATAAAGTTGGAATTAGTTAACGCGTGGGTCAAACCTTCGCGGAGACGAACTGGACAGCAGCTGATAGTATCTCGAAATGGCTGGGCAGTGGGCGACTACAGCCGTGCGAGAGCAGACGATCTTCCTCCTTTGTATCGCAAACAATTGATGATATCTGGTGTCACTCTGGCAAGCTTCCAAGCTTCTCACTTTGTAGCACCAGTCGTACCCGGATAGCGTGCGCCTCCCGGGCCTCTTTTTTCGTCTGTATTTATTCTCTTTCGCCTTTTCCCTCCTTTCTCGTCCGCCAACTAGGCTTGTCTATCGATTTTTACTCTTTCTGCAGACTCTCAGATCTCGATACGGTGATGCTCTATATTGACGTGTTGGTTGGTCTCACCCCTTGTGCCGTGCCACAATCTAACCTGCAGTACGCCAGGGACGAGGACGGCAATGAGAGGGTAGTCAATACGCCGAACACGCAACTCCTTCGCTATGTCTACGGACCGCTCGACGCCATTGACAGGCTAGTGTTTGTACAGCGTGCAGATGTAACTTTCCGTGAGCCTTTCTCGGGGCACACGGCCTTGCATGTGGCCGCCAGGGTCGGGAGCGAGCAACACGCCCTACGGCTGCTCGAGTATGGAGCGCCATGGAACCAGATCGATAATGAGGACCTCACGCCCGGAGAAGTGGCGCTGAATGAAGGCCACGAGGAGTGCTACAAAGTCATCTACAACTTTGCCATAGAACTAGGTAGGCCTTTTGGTCAACAGTGCTACTGTGCCCTGGATCTCTCTGCGTAGAATATAGAATTTGGTTCAATCCTGCCCTGTCCTATGACAGCAATCCTTATCTCAAGGGATCTCTCTCGAATCTGTCCCTCAGGGTTTCCAACGAACAGTATTTGAAATCGAGCGTCACTTTCAGAAATCCTCAGTCGGAGATCCCAGATGAAGTTGCCATGATATATGACGATACTGGTGTTATGATGGAATGGGAAAGACCGCTAAGTAGTCGCTGCCAAATCTGAAGAATGTAGGACATCCATCCCTGACACAGGCCTCTATAGTGAAGGAATCGGCGCGAATTCTATGTGAAAACATGGGAAAGGGCAAGGCCATCCTAAACATAGGCTTTGGACTCGGCATCGTAGGTCCCCCAGTATTACATCTGAGACAGACCAATAGGAAGCCTCATACGAATAACAGATCGACTCGTACTTCCAGTCGTATGAGCCTGCAAATCACACCATCATCGAGGGACATCCGCAATGCCTAGAATATATGCGGATCAATGGATGGTATGACAAGCCGAACGTTCGGATTTTGGAGGGTTCTTGGAGAGACTTCATAGGTTCGCGCGCTCGCAAGGACATCAAATGGCCTACAAACGGCGCTGGTGAGAAGATGGAGGGCCTGGGCACTTTTGATGTTATCTACTTTGATACCTTCAATGAGAGTTATGGTGGCCATCTGGGCTTTCTACAATGCTTGCGGGGCCTTGTATCCGGTCCGTCGGCACGCTTCTCGTTTTTCCATGGGCACAACCATGCTTGGAAGATGGGCTATGAGGTACGCTGCCTCAAATTACCTCGGTGCGATCGCGTTTATGTGTGATAGGTCTACACGGAAGTGGCGACGATGCACGCGAATGACTTTGGTTTTAGTACGACGTGGACAGGTACATATTTGAACATTTTGTCAAACAGATCTCTGACGTTCTGTGAAGAATTCGGGATTGATGCGGACACTGTTTGGACTGAAATAAAGGATGGACAAATTCGAAGGGCCACTCGAGGCGTGCGTATCCCTATCATTTCCTGGAAGATTGCTCACTGTCTTCAACTACAACAGGAGAAGCAGACCCTATACAACATCCCCCTCTCCGTCTTGGCTCCGACAGTACCGAAAAGGGTTGTCAACCCAGTTTTTGCTCAGTAGGAACATTCAATGGCTGCAAGTGATTAGCCGCCCCGATGCCATCTTTCTTCTATGCCAAGTGCGAAACTCTCAATGTGGCTGTTCAATTTAAATACTTCACATTTATTTAATGTTGCGAAAGACATATGCATGTGGAGAACGCGGTGTTCGACTTTCACACTGCACCCTCGGAAGGAATACCCCTGTTGAGGCAGCAAAAATCAAGACGAGTTCGATATCACAAAGCATGCAAACACCTTACTAGAGTTTTGATCCCAACGTTTACTAGAGGTCCAGTTTACGCCTGTTTGGCTGTATGAGTGCGAGCGCTTATTGATGCACAAATGTACGCATGTCTTGCCACGACGTGGTTTGCCTCCGTCGGAGAACACGTCCAAGTCCATCGCAATGTCACGCTTGTGGGTGTCCTAGCGGTCTTCAGACGATATTCATCTACAAAACAGCTTGCTAGAAGGAGTTAGGGAACAACTATGCGTCTGCTGTAATATTTATCCTGCCACCTCACAGCCTGATGTATTGCCACGACGCCATTGTCTTAAAGGTAACCTAGCGACTTCCCGCTGTCGGCTCATTGCGCGCGCTACACCAGAATCCTTGTTCTGCGGTGCTAGCCCCAGCACCGGTTGACGAACACAAGCTCCGGGTGCCATGCCATTCGGCGATTAAGTGCACAAGTGTATCTTCAGTCGTCTGGGTGAGTCCCCCTGCATTGCGTTCGGGTCTCACTGTTGACTCGCATGACATTTGTTTTTGTCTTAATTCCGTCATCCCATGATCGCATGAAATGGAGCGGTTCCATTATGATGGTGTGCCGGGGGTTCTGATTCTGACCGGATAGGCCGCCACTGACCTCTATGCACGGCGGTGAGAGTCGCATGGCTTCTGTCGCCGGTTTTCCACGCACAGTTAAGGTTTGCACAAAGTGCTCATGTTCCATTCCCTCGTTTCCCCGATGGAGAGTGCCGTTGTGACATTTGAATCGCGCTCAGTTCCTGGGGATCAGGTTATCGGAGGCGATGCAACCGCGTGAGTGGCGGCTGTCAGCGAATGAGGAGCCCTTTCCGCTCGACATAGACACAGGGGCCCGCTTCAGTCGCGTATAATCTAATGCAAGGAGAACGGCGGTGTCGGGTTCTTTACAGTGCCCTGCCATATACACCTCGTACACGCGTTTTGCGCTGATGTCACGTCAAGGCTCGTCTCATGAATATTTACTCGACTCCAGGTTATTGATATAGATACTTATCAAGCAATTTAGCGGGTATTTCTGGATGTGGGTGGCTATGTTGTCGTTGGCGGGTCTTTTGTTCGTCGTCTCCCGGACTAGTATGAAAGCAGCCGCCCTGACGGACGGAATCATTCCGTCTGTTCCTCTTTGATTTGCTGTACTCTGCGAACAAGAGAGTTCGGTTGATGGTGAAGAAGCCAAATACGCCCGAGGGCGACAAACCTTCGTCCTCTCGGATTCCCAGAAAGCTCACTTCAACGATCAGCCATGCAGAACTGAAGGTACGGCGGATCGCTCCTCTTTGTTCTGCCAGTTTGTAGTTGACGAACGATACACTAGTTTCCGATATGGGGGCAATCGTGGCAGTCGTCTACTCCACAGGCTAGTACGTCTAGTTCTGGTGTTTTCCATCAACATGGGCTGGAGAGCGAGGGCACCGAATCGTCGTCTCAGTCTACGGCGACTCGCAGCCGCGGCCGCGGACGTGGATCCAGGGGTAGGGCGAGACGATCGAGTCGTAGTCCATACGCTCGGACGGGGCGCCCCCGTCATGAGTCACAACGAACACGAGCTGACAGTCAAATTGAAGAGGCGATCCCGAGCACCAGCGGTGCTCCATCCCTCACAGGTATGTCCCTGCGCTTCGTCAGACCGATCCTCGAGTTTTAATTCAAGCAATACGGCAGTAGCAGATGCTGCACCTTCTCACGTCCAAAGTCCATCATCTACACCAGGACTTTTGTCGCCATCAGCACCAACCAATGTATTGGATTCCGTGCATGGGACCGACGTTCCTGCTTACTCAGGGTCTAACTCTGGCATGTGGCCCGCTTATCCCCAATCTATGCCAGTTGCTGGTCACTGGCAGCATTCTGCAGGCTACAACGTTCCTCCTGCATATCCCGGCGTACCTGGAGAGACGAGGCCGTTGTATGGCGAGCCGTTGCACTACCCTGCATCTGGACCATTGTATCACCACCCTGGGCTTGGCGCGGCGCCACAGGTCAACCACACGGAATGGCCGACCTCAGTGCCAAGCGGTGGTTCTATGAGAGCATACTATCCAGGTGTGTGGTTTCACTTATTTATCGCCACTTTGGACGCCACATCGATTATCTTGACGTCGTGCAGGCGCGATGTACGACAGCCAGGTGGCCCACCCATCTCAACAGATGTATCCTGTTCCTTCTTCGAGCCAAGAGCCCTCCTCGTTCGCTGTCGACCCTAATGAGCTGCGTTGGGGCCACACTGATAGTCCAGTCCCCAACCCGTCGACGTTCCCCTACCATCATCAAGGTGGACTTGATCCTAACCTGTCTGGCCCACCGCCAACCTTCCCAAACACGTTCCAAGAAGCTAAGCAGTTGACATTCCCCCACCATCATCAAGGCGGGCTTGATCCTAATCTGTCTAACCCACGGTCAACCTACCCAGGCCTGTCTCAAGAAGCCGAGCAATATGAGCCGGAGCCTGAGGCAACGGAGGAGACCGGAGGATACGATCCGCACAACTGGGACTACCCGTATTCGGTTCCTCAGGACGGTGGGGATAGGCATTGGTAAGCTTGTGGGTACGGCAACGGTACTGCTCCGGTGGGGAGGCTCCGTCATCAGATACTTGTATCACATTGATTGCCATTAGGTCACACATATCGGAGCTGAGCTCTGAATTCCACAGCTCGACCGTCGTCTAGCGCTTCATCGGAACGCGGTGCATGTAGCTGTTTCTTTTTACTGTCTGTCTCGGTCTCATTTCTTGTTCACTGCGTTTGAAACTTTGTGCCTCTCGAGTGTCTCTTTTCTGCATCTGCTGTACTTCTTGTCTATGTTTGTGTATGTACCAGTGCTTAAGTCGAGTGGATATTATCAATGGTATGTGGGACACCACTGCTGGATGTAGTTTGGTACAACTGGCATCTAGTAACTATACAGGCTCTCTTGTGAAGCTACCTTAATGCTAGCCTGCCATTATACTCCTTCTGGTGCAATAATTGAGCAACGTGTTCGCAACCTAAGAACTGTGGCAGTGCTATGGATGATCATAATCACATTTATGTCATTATGATCACACATAGCCATGCAACAGCGCAAGTTGAACCAGCATCGTTCCTCTCGATATCTCAATCTGCAACGAACAACCCATGACCTTGGTGGCACTACGCAAACGTATAATGCAGTCAGCGAAGTGGCGAAATCGACCGCTTTAAAAAGCACTACCATACCAATCTGTCGAGTAAATCCAGTTGTGCCGAGAGCTGTGTCGTCGGAAAGCATTCCCGACCTCGAGAGGATCCATGACACTTGAAGCTGGAGATATCACCATAATGCTGTGGCGACTTCATCCCAATTTATATATCCTCAGTGAGCGCCATGCCTGTAGTCGCGGCTCAATTCCATCCTATTATGCCCAGCTTGAATTAGAGCGGATCGTGCATGGTCACCTCGATACGCGACTAATTGTTCGGATACTCTACCGGCCGCGCCTGAGTAGGTGGACAATTAATCAATTGTCGCCTTCAACGTCGTTATGCACTTCAAATGCTGCGGATTTACTTGCAAAGACGTAACCAAATACTGCTCCAAAAACAGGAGAATTACGCGTGTGCTATCGAGTCAGAAGTTCTTGAAGCGTGGATTCAACAAGTTGACTCCATACGAGGCGCGCATTTTATCGGATACCAGGTTGCGCCACCATCACCATGCATCATTGGTTACACTGCCTCTCGATGATGACTATAGTCTGTTGGCAGTGCTAAGAAACTATTCCAAGCAGTTGGTGTACAAGCAATCCTGGTATCTCCTCTCCTTGGGCCTTGTCAAATATTGCTTAATCGACATTTGCATTCGGCTGTCGGCTGTCTGGCTCGTATTACACAGTGAAGCCCGAAGCCTAATACTGTTGGAGGTCATGGCCATGGGTACCGGAAAGCCTTCTGGTAGAGGTCGAGTCTCGTGTTGACGCACAGCTTCATGGTCGCAAGGTATGTATACCGCACTGGTCCTCCGTCTTCACTCATATTCTCGTCACAAATTCCCGTTCATGACTTCTCCCGCACATTCTATCTATGCCGAAGAGCTATTCAAACTCGGTCATGGATATCCGCTGTGGTTTCCTGATTGTAGACGGGAGACAAATGGAGTGATGATCGGTGACATTGGATATATCGACCAAGGATCTTTCCACCGCCTCTTCAATGCCACCCTGGATAAATCTAATCCTATCAACGCTCTGGGAGTCCCAGAAGACTTTCAAGTATTTGCAGAGCTTGGAGATGTTGCTACAGTGTGCACGCCCGATGCGTTACCCCGTGGTCCATTGTATAGCAGGACTATCATGCCAATAGACTTCCATTCGTGAGTTATATTTGTACTTTATTCCTAAGACGGGGTTGATGACACAGATTAGGGACACCTTGACTGGTCGCTTCTCGTGTAGTGGGGGAAATGGTGCTTTGCTCATAGTTGGGTCGCCCGCCACTCGCGAACAGCTGACACATATCCGGAGAATAAAAAATTACATGTTCAAAAATCAGGCACACTGGCTCGATTTTGCGCAAGATCGAGGCCGTGAAGTATGTGCAGAGGGGATTATCTTCGTTCGCGGATGGGTGAAGACAACGCGCTGGGCTGTGGCAGCGTTAACAGAGGGAGGAGAGAATGTCGAGCTGTCCTTCCATGGCTTTGAAGCGGATGCTCCTTTTTCGGCGACAAACTACTCTTCGTTCTACCATCATACAGGCCCGCGGCAAGAAACACCCCAGGTGGATACTGTCGCGGCTGACCAATGCATATTCGTGCATTATTGCAAGCTTAAAAGGAGGCGATTTATCCCGAATTCGTGGAAGTTACAAGCGGCCGCTGAGCCCCAGGATCCACCACCGTCGTCCGATGATGAAACAAATGGAACACAAGAATCCCAATGCACTTCATCTGGCGTATGCATGTGATCAATGACTTCATCGTAATTGTCGTTGATCACGATCTGCCTAGTGGAGCGATCCTGTTGATTATATTCTAGAGTATATCTTTCAAGTGCGCCTACTTCTAAGTAATTGATTATGGCTAATTAATATTGCCAGTATACACTTGCAGAAGCGGCAATTGCTAGCGACACTGATCTCTCTGATTTATGCAAGGTGGGCAATTTGGAACAGCCTCAAGCCCGCCATGTGACAGTGACTCATGCAAATATTCTTCAGCTTGCTAATTGCCCTCTTCCTGAAGACATACCTGATTTCCTCAGACGCATGCGGCCCCAAATTGAATTGACACAGGAAGGAGGTTGGCAACTCGCATTGAACCAAGTTTTCCGAGCTAATAGTTTGCCTTTACAGTAGGAATGCTTAGTCTCGATGATTCCATTACCGATTTAAAAAATAATGGTGTCGCTGGAACGACAGAGAAACGGGATGATGGATGTTTGAGCTCGTTGTGTATGATTCCATCGAACAAGAACCTACACCTCACCGTGGACCCGTGGACCCCGCATCTTTCCATTGCTATGTCAAGCCTTGTATCTCAATCCATCTGCATTCGTTCAGTTCCGCAGGATCATGTAGCCTCCCTACCCCCAACACTTGATTCATGTGGCGCTGTCAGTCAAGATTGAAGTCAGGCGAACCCTCTCTTGCTGAATCAGGCACACCAGCCCAGTCGTCACATGTGAGCTCGTTGAACGGTTGCTAGCAACCTATTTTAGACTGAATTCCGACATTAGAAACAATGCATCTCTGCTTGAAACCCGCGGCGCGAGTGGGTGCATATTTTATTTTTCTCTTTTCTCTTCAAGCTGTACAAGCGGCCGAACAATATTCCTGTGGATCTAGTAACAAACAATGGCACGAATGTAGAGTTTGTGTAAAATTGTCCAGTCGGGCTATCTCTGGTACAGGACTGCTGTCCGGGCACCAGTCAATTGAACAACTCGACCGAAGATGTACTATATCAAAGCCATACACAGCAAGAAGAGGGAGCACAAACAAGCCAACATGACCCATCTAATATGTCCTAAAACATCACTAGTAAATGCAGGATAAAACTACATGCGCGATAGAAGTGTACAAAGCTAAGGGTACAAACAACACATCTAGGAGTCGTAGCAATGTGTAAGTTTACCATACGAAATGCTACCAGTGTTTTGGTCTTCGGTGGAAGTAAGCACATGCAAGACGGATAGATTATGATAACGCACCCAAACGTTTCGTTCGGAGCTAATGCGATGAGGGGAAGCCCCTGACCGTCAGCAGTGTTCAGGTATACCGTATTCCCCCACCACGTCTGGATGGTATTCGCCCCGATCGTGCCATTTGCAGGATATTGCAGACCGAAGTAGATCAAGACACCAGATATCGCCACACCGGAATTCAACGCGGCTGACAGCACATCTAACCAATGCACTATTAATCCAATGCCGTAAGGACGCGATAGAGGGATCACGCACAGTTGTATTTCGCCCACCACGAAAACCTGTGGCGGCGAATTACATAGTTGAAGATAAAGCCGACTAGGATGTTCGGAACGTAGTTGAGAGCGGAGGCAGGCGCGATATAACTTGCGCCATTGAATAGAACGGGGAAGTTAGTGTAAGCCAAGCTCGAGTTCGGCCACTTGCGGGAAATAGAGTAGGATATTAGTGGACAGATAGCGCCAACCAGGAAGAAAAATGCTAGAGCACTAGTGTCCCCCATCAGGCTTGTGTAAGTGAAAAAGACTAAACATACTCAACTAGTATATTTGACCCTTGGAGAACTGGCGGCTAGGACCAATGGCTCCCCAAATAATTGATGCAGTGCCGAAAACTTGTGTACTGGGACACTGAGAGAAATCGTGTACAAGAGAGTAAGCAAGTTGCCTGTAAGAATATCTACTTGACACCTACAGTGAAACCATCCTTCTGGGTCAACGTGCATATATCTGGTATATGGCCGAACATCCAGACTTGAACACCAAGCTGTACTGTTGCGGCAACAACAGCAGCGATTAGCTGAGCCCAAAACATGATCCGAGGTCTTAAACAGATAGTGAATGAGATTCTGTCAATGACACCGGCTACACCACAGCTACTCACGGTATTTTCATGTAGTGGCCGATCTTCATGTCGGATGCGAATTGGAGCGCTTGAGACATTGTCACAAAACTCCAAGTCTTGAACAACATTGTGGCCAGCGGCTTCCCGGGGACAGCATATCCGGCGATGAGTTCTGCGAAAACACTGGGAAAACGATAAGATCCCTGAAGGGAAGACTTGATTTGGACATACTTGAGTTCGATTTGTTGGTTTGAAATAGCCAATATAATACCTATAGGTATAGTAAAGACGAAAGCTGATAGCAAATCATCAGCAACTAGTGATATGGTATACAGCTTAGGGCATACCTAGACCTACGGCACATAAGAATGCCCATATAGGAAGTCGGGTATCGTAGACCTCAATTGCGACAGCACTCATGACGAGCATCGGAACTGACAAACTTGGGTCAGCTACTACCACTACATCCCAGCCCTCTACACTCGTCAGAATAACACCAATTACCTAGGATCAGCGCATACCACCACTCTGGTACACGAGAATAGTGATTCATCAGACGAGCATGTATGTCGGACTCTTCGGATAAAGTTCGGTGCGCTTGCTGCCAGATATACTTGCGATAGTACAAGATCGTGTGCGTCACCGTGGATGAGATTGCTGCGAAACACAACGCATAGCTCAATGCGAAAGCAGCAGGCAAAAACAACGGCGAGTAGTTCGTGTACATATCCTCGTTAAATGTCATGTCGGCGTTTATTATCCTCGTGACGTTATATGGCGCGGCAGTATTGTCGTAAGATGTCAGGGATGAGATCGGCATATACTGGGAGTACCAGGTGTTGGTGTAGTAGAGGACGGGTGTGAGGATCCAGAAGAAGACAATGAAGCCGACAGCAACGTTGGCGGTGGCCCACCACGGGCTGACCAAAGGGGAGCCAATGTAAGCAATCTTTATGAGAAGGGAGTCAGCACGTGTATCAATGAAAGAGGTGGGTACTTCACTTGACTCCAGTCGAATGTGATTATCGACATCCCTAAGCCAGACTCATAACCAAATAATTGATTTATAATGATATTGCCGGGAACGATCCAGCATACCCAGCTAAAGTAGCCGAGTGCTTTGAAAACATAACCAGGCATGAAATACCAGAACAGGCTGGCGGCGAATGCGACAGCAAAGAAGCGCTCGCGAGAAATGCCTCGCCTGTCGCCGGCGCCAGCGTATTGCTGCGAGTGAAGAGTGTTGAAGAGAGCACAGTTAACCAAACTGCCGGGCCAGATCATTGATGGTGGCTGGACCAAGAATCGCTGGCAGATGCCACCCATCGAAAATCCAATCTGATTATAAAGCTCAGTATTGGCATATATGGTTGTTTATATGCTGACGTACCAGTTGGGTCGATATAACTATCATCCACTGATATATGAAGTCCACAGTCTGGTTATAGAAAACTCGTTGCACCGTAATGACGATGGTCTGTAAGGTATAAGGATACCAGAGATCACTAGCTATTCAATAACAACTCACACCATACGCTGGATTCCAGGTAACAACAGCCATGACCGTAATCAGGACATGTTCCTTGATTGTGAATGGACCAGGGTTCATTGAGATACCATAGATGCGGACGGCTGGCACAAAGCGTGCCCATAGCCGTCCTAGTAGAAAAGACAGCAATTGCGCCTCGAGCTGGGTTATATGTAGTATGTAAACTTGAGGTCGCATCCGTGTGAGACAGTACGTACACCTGTTATGCCGATCGAGGGATATCGCAAAACGAAAAACTGGTTAAGTCCGGGGATAACAATAGACCACAGGAGGCCTATGGTCCATGCGCGCACGGTGCTGACGGGCATATCCGGATCGTCTGCATTAGCGACCGCACATCGTACTTCAGGATATGGCGAGTCCTCTTCCTCTGTCGTAAAGTCAATAGGTATATTGTCATTACGAAGCGAACAGCGTACCGTCGACCACAGAGTCGTTGTCGTCGAGATTCGGATCGTCAAAGCCACTGTATATAGACGCAGTGCTACCTACAAGTGGCGCGAGTGCGCCGGCGGATTAGATGCGAGGACACAGCTATACTGAACATCCGGAACGCAGACTCACTGTGCTTCGCCGCCTCCGACGCCTCTCCAAACACCTCTGCAGAGTCCTGACTGGGCAGGTACGACTCCTCGCTGGCCCAAGTTGGCATGGTGGGAAGTCCCCGCGTAGCGGTTCCGCCCGAGACGGCTGTACACGACCTATAGCTGGAATATAGGACAGGGGAAGGAAACTACTACACAATTCAGCAAGTCTAACGAAGATTGTGTTAGAAAGAGAGGCATACCTGTATGCTTATCGGCGACGAAGAGACGCGTCCCACTCCCACTCCCACTTATCACAAGCTCATTGGGTCCGTGGGCAAACCGTACGTAGCGTAATCTCCGCCGCATCAACACAGCGAACCAGTGCGCCGAAATTGTTCGGGTTGATATAACTCAGAGACATGGGGAGCAACGACCGGGCACGTTGACACGTTGTAGGAAATGCATTTGATTTGTTTGCCAGCAGCAAATAGAATATGCATTCAATCATCACTGCTAGCGGAGGAGGTTAACCGACTCCCCGAGACGCCCGGCCACCATTGTGGCTGAAGACCCCAGGCGCGTGACCTACCCCTTGAACGCGTCGCGACGTGAGTGAACAAAGCAAAGCTTTGCTCTCTGCCACCACTTGCACCAGCGTTCTTCAACCACCATGTCCGCGTGAGTGACTATGTATACTGAAATTTACTTTGATAACCGACTTGTAGCCCTTCCAGCTCCACACCTGAAAAATCTGAAGTGACAACGCCCTCCCTCGAGGACGCCGTCGAACATGCCAAACGCGCGTTCGCCTTGCGAAAATACGAGCAAGCAGTGGACCACTATGCTACTGCGCTCGAGCTAATGTAGGTCTCAGCATTCTGGTGACGCGCCGGACGCGTCGCACTTCAATCAGAGCACTAACTGGCAGCTTTTCAGGACAACAAAATATGGCGAGAACGCACCAGAGACAGCTGACCTTTACTTTTCGTACGGGAAGGCTCTTTTAGAGAATGCCATTTCGCAAACTTCAGTGTTGGGCAAGGAGCAAACAGATGAAGCTGTGCAAGCTGCAGTAGAAGAATCTGCCAGTATGTGACGCATATTCCTACGCATAAAGTTGCCTCATCGTACTCATTTCCCACACCAGAATTGGAGCTAAGCCGTAACAAGTTCCTGTCGTTTTCGGGCGATGCAGACGATGCAGACGACTCGTTAGCCGAGAGCAAGGAAGATGTCGCTGTAGATCTCTTCGCAGAAGCTCAGAAAGTAGACGATGATGAAGATGACGAGGATGACGAGGAAGACAACGACGTGGAGCCAGAAGACGACTTCAACGCAGCATGGGAAGTACTCGACCTCGCACGCGCGATCTACGAAAAGCAGCAGGACGACAATGACGAAGTCAAACTGAGGCTGGCAGACACCTTCATTGCCCTCGGCGACGTGTCGTTAGAGACAGAGAAGTTTGACCAGGCAATCACGGACTACAGCGCTGCCCTCACAATCAAAGTTGAACTCCTCCCCCAGTCTTCTCGCCAAATAGCTGAGGCACATTATAAACTCAGCATCGTTCTCGATCTTACTTCCGGAAGACTGGGTGATGCGATCACTCATGCAGAGCAGGCGTTGGAGAGCGTCGAGGCACGCCTAGCGGAGCTCCGGGATGCGCTCAGTGGGCAAGGGCTGGTCAGAGTGGACGTACCGCAGCCAGATGTGAACGGCAAGGGCAAGGGTAAAGCATCAGGGCCTCGGTTGCTTGGAGCGGACGCGGTCTCGAAAATGAGTAAGAGCGATATGGAAGCCGAGGTTAAGGAGCTGAGAGGTCTGAAAGATGATTTGGCTCTCAAGGTGAGTAGCGCATAACATGTTATGCGTATAAGCTCATGCATTCTTCGCAGGTTGAAGAACTTAAGACATCGCCTGAAGAAGTTGAATCTGCTCCTGCCATGGCTGCCAAAGCGCTCGATGCAGAGCTGAACACTAATGTGCCCGCGGCGGCTGTAGCTGCCCCGCAAACAGTGACCGACCTTACCTCAATGGTAAAGAAGAAGAAGAAAGACCCTGAAGCGACCGGTGCCATGAAGCGGAAAGCCGAAGACGAACCTTCTCTCTCAGAAAAGAAGGCAAAAATAGAAGATCCAGCACCATGAGCAAATCCAGACGATTTTGGCATTCAAGTTTGGTTTTTATATGTATCGATATACACTACATTTGTTGTTACAATTCTGTTACCAGTCATTCTGCTCTACATACCAATCATACACCCCCGCTACTAATTCATACCATCACTCCGTCAAAAATGGCACCGTCTCTGCGCTGAGTCTCGTATGTTTGAACTGCTTCTTGCCCTCCCCTGCACCAAACTCCCCTACAATGTGGCCGTTCTCGCCCTTGCTCCGAAGCATGTATTTGTACGTGACAAGCCCTTCGAGGCCGACCGGTCCCCGTGCATGGATGCGCCCGGTGCTGATTCCGACCTCCGTACCGAATCCGTAGCGGAACCCGTCCGCAAAGCGCGTGCTCGCGTTCACGAAGGTGCCCGCAGAGTCGACCCCACGGCAGAAGGCGGACGCGGCTGCAGGATCCTCCGTGACGATGCAATCGGTGTGGTGCGATGAGTGCGCGTTGATGAAGCGGATCGCGTCCGCGACCGAGGGGATCGCTAGAACGGACAGCGTGAGGCTAAGGTGCTCTGTCGTGTATGCATCTGGCGTCGAGGGTTGGACGTGCGTCGTAAAGTTGGTAGGGACCGGGGAGAGTGCACTCAGAGCGGTCAAGGTCGGAGTATCACACAGGAGGTTGACTTCCGCAGCGAGGAGAGCCTTGGCGACGGCTGGCCAGACAGTTGATAAGATGTTCTCGTGTACAATCAACGTTTCGGCCGCATTACAGGCTGCGGGGTAATCTGTCTAAGGTGATGTAAATAGTATGCCCTCGTTCACGCTCGAAGACCGAACAGTTCGCGCACCTTCGAGTCCAAAACAACTCGCATGGCCTTCCCAATGTCAGCGGACTCGTCTAAATAGACCGAGCACAGACCGTCGGCGTGTCCCATGACTGGGATTCTGGTATTGTTTTGGATGTTGCGGACAAGGCTATTACTGCCCCGAGGAATCACAAGATCAATGTATTGGTCCAATTCGAGTAATGCAGACACTTCTGCCCGCGTTTGAATAGTTTGAATATAGGTGCTCGAGATGGATGTCCGCGATAGCGCAGTCTGAATTACTTTAGACAGCAGTCTGGTAGTCTCATTTGATTCTTTTCCTCCTTTCAGAATGGCCGCATTACCTACATAATGCTGAGCTGAGAACGGAACGCGACGAGCATAGTGTACTCACCAGACTTAATGGCCAGAGCAGCGATATTGATGACAACTTCCGGACGCGCCTCGAAGATTACCAGCAGCAGACCGATGGGACACGACACGCGATACAGTTCCAGGCTGTCGTCCAACTCAGACGCATACGTGACGATTCCGGTGGGGTCTGGTAAATTTGCAACGTCCGTTACACCTTGAAGCATCGAGTCCCACTTTTCACCCTTCCCGAGGTCAAGCCGCTTGAACAAGGAGCTAGACATTCGCCCTGCTTCCACTTCAATTTGGGCGGCCTAATCAATCCATCCGAAACGTTGTAGAGCAAGGTCGTCGGCATCCAGGAATAGGGGACACATATGAGAATCGATCTTCTTACTTTAAAACAGCAGTATGCACCTCGAGGTCCTTCTTGTTCGCTACCATAATATCATCCTTCGTGGCTTCCAGCTCTCTGCGAATCTCATGCAGCGCTTTAGCCCTTTCTGCGGAGGAAATCAATTGGGATGCTTGGAACGCTGTTTTGGCAGATTTTGCAATATCCTCAGCGGTGTAGTCTCCAGGAAATGAAATAGAAGACATGGGTATCTGTGACGGTAATTTAAGAGAAGATATTGAGTGAACAAGTGAACTTCAAACTACTAGGTGAATTTAGCGATCGAGTCAAGGTGGCGCATGTGAGATTGGGTGAGATTAGAATAGCGTAATCTTATCTGTTCGGTCTCGCTGGGGGATCGAGTCAACGGCGATCGCCACCGAATCCAACGACGACTCCAAATAATACTGGCTGAAGCCAATTGTTGTAGTCCGACCAAATTTTGATATTACGATGATCCGGGATGTTTGGTGAGACTTTTGAGATGCGGATTGCCTATTGTCTGAAGACTACCACGCTGGCAGCAGGTCTTCGTTCAATCGCATCACTCACCGCCACAATGGTGGCGGGGG